CGGCACTCACCGCCATGCAGCTCTCTCTCGGCGTGCACGCCATCTCGTTCCGCGTCGAGCGGCGGGGCGGCGCTGCGAGCGGCGGCGCTGCGAGCGGGGACGGGCCCCCGCGGCCATGCATGCTCCTGGGCGTGACGGACACTGCGCCCGGCAGCTGGGGCTGGGGCTACTGCCCCGAGGATGGGCGGCTCTACCGTTGCCGGTACGAGTGGGCGTGCGACGGGTCCGCCACGGAGGAGCCGATTGCCCTGCCGGCGCCGCACCCGCAGCTGCAGCCGGCGCTCGCGAGCGGCTCCATCGTGACGGTGCTGCTCGACCTCGACCTCGGCGCCATGGCCGTCTCCGTCAACGGCAGCCGCTTCGTCGACACGCGGGCGGTCTTGCCGGCCAGCGTGAAGCCGTTTGCGGCCCTCCGACGTGAGGGCGACGCCGTGTGGCTGCTCGGCGCCACATTCGACCATCCGCTCTCCGCCTCTGAGCCAGAGCCGGCCGAACCGGCACCGCCAGCGGTCGCGCCGGCAGACGGCGCCGTCTCGTCGCTCTCCTCTCCCGCGGCGACGCCGCTGCCCCTCCGGATGGCCGACGCGCTAGCTGCGCAGGTGTGGGCGCGGGAGACTCTCGACCGCCGCCAGCCACCAACGCCTCCGGCTGCCGTTGCTGCCGCCGCCGCCGCCGCCGCCGCCGCGGCCAGCGCTGCTCCATTGCCGGGGCCGACAGCGCATTTCGAGGTGGGGCTCGCTTCGGAGGGCGGCGGTTTGGCTGCCCTGCCCGCGAACCAGATCAGTCGGCGGCTCGACGCCGCCTCCTCGTCGGCCTGCACCGCCATGCGGGAAAGCTTGTGGCGCGAGCTGCGCGTGCGGCACGAGAGGCAGCTCACCGTCTCCGCGGAGCCGGTGCCGGAGCGCTCTTCCGCCGAGGCCGAGCTCCGAGAGGCGGCGGAGGCGGCTTTTGCGGTCGCGCGCGACGGCGGCGCGGACGACGACGCGGCATCTCTCCTCGCGCGCATCGCTTCCGCCCGGAGCCTTGGTGCGTCGCTCGGAGCGCCCGGCTGCGACGCTCGCGCGTTGGGTGGCGCTTTCTGCCCGATCATCGTCGACGCTCCAGCCGCAAGCCTCGCGCCGCACAGCCTCGCACCGCTCGCGAGCCTCCCGCTGCAGCTGGCGTTGGCCCGCGGGCGCGAGGCGCTGGCGCGCGAGCAGGAGGCTGGCGCCGCACTTCGGCCGCCGCCGTGGGTGTGTCGCCACTGCGCTCGGCTCAACCGGCCCCGTCGTCGCGCGAGCGGGCGGGCGGGTGAGGCGGTTGGCCAGCCGCAGCAGTCACAGCAAGCTTTTTCCGAGGCTTTCGCCCCGCAGATACGCCGATTGGATTGTGGCAGCCAGGGCCGCGGCGGGTCTAGCCCTCCAAAGTACCGCCCGGGCGCGCCCTTCGGTGGCCGCTTCTCGGACGACGCGGCGGGCGCGGGCGAGGAGGTCGACGGCGGTGCGAGCGCAGCCCTGCCGCCGGTCTGGGCCGGGTCGTGTCTACCGCTGGTGGTGCAAGAGGTCGCGTACGCCGACACGAGACGCTGCGCGCCATGCGCCGAGTGCGCGGCGCTCTGCGCACTGCCGTCTGGAAAGTGCAGCCACTGCCACGGCTCCGTGGTGAGGCGGGCGGGAGCGGCGGGCGGGGCGCCCTCCAGCTCCGGGCGGTGGCTCGAAGGAGAGAGCTCGGAGGGGGGGGAGGGAGGGGAGGAGGAGGCGTGTGACATCTGCGGGCTCGGTGCGCGGAGCGGCCTCCCCGTCAGCAGCGGACCGGCGAGCTCAGCCGTGGCGGGCGTGTCTCGCGGCAGCGGCTCGCAGCCAGAGTCCATCGACTCGGATGCGCGCCTGGCGACGGCGATGCAGGCGGAGGAGTATGGGTGTCGCCCGCGTATTCCTCCTACGGCGCCGCCTCGCACTGCTCCCAGCGCTTCCGCCTCGCGGGTCGTCCCGGTCTCTCCACTCGATGCAGGGCATCGGGCAGAGGAGAGGAGGCAGGCGGCGCAGACGGCCGCCAGCGAGATGCACCGGCTCGAGCGCGAGGCGAAGGCTGCGACTGCCAGCGGCCTGTCCTCGTGCGCCACCGCCTCGCGCCTCGCGTCGACCGACACGGCCTCCCGCCCGAAGCTCTTCACGCAGGCCCTGGAGAGCTTCACCGAGGCGCTCGAGTCCCTCAACCAAGCAGTGACCATCGCGACGCGTCCGGCCGCGCCGAGCCGCGACAACTCCCAGCCAGACCAGCCAGTGGACGCTGACGGGGCAGACGGCGGCGCGGTCCCGCCGGGCGTCGGCGGCCTGGCCGCCGCAGCCGCCTACTACGCCGCCCACGTGGCGCCTCCCGCGGCGAGCCCTCCTGCTCCCGCCGCGCCGCCCGCGCAGCGGGGCCTCTCGAATGCAAGCGCGGCGGCCTTTCAGAAGACCACGCTCGCCCTCCTCCGCGAGAAGATTGCGGCCACCCACTGCCACCGCGCGCGCGCGTACCTCTACTTGCGCCCACAGGCGGCGGACCCGACCAACGCGCTCGAGCTTGCGCTCAGTGCGACGCAGGAGGCGGCCAAGCTCGCGCCGGCCTTCCCTCGCGCGCCGTGCCTCGGAGGCCTCGCCTCCGCACTGCTCGGGCGGCACGAGGCGGAGGCGGAGGCGGAGGCGGCCATGCGTGCGCTGGTGGGGCGCCGCCGCGTCCTCGCGGGGCAGCGGCCGCTCCTCGACCGCTTCGCCGCCTTCCTCGCCCGCGAGGGGACGCGGCCGATCCAGACGCGCGACCGGCAGACCGGCGGCCTCTCCTCGCCCTTTGGCGTCGCGCCGGGGCAGCCGCCGCCGCCGCGCGCCCAGCCGCCGCTCGCGCCGCCGGCGCAGCTGCCGCCGACCCCCGCGCCGCCGACGCCCCCCGCGCCGCCGAGCCAGGGCACGGGCGAGGAGCAGGAGGCGCCGGAGGAGGCGCTGGAGGGGGAGGCGCCGCCCTTTTCGCTGCTCGGCGCTCTCTTCGAAATCAGCGACATCTCGTCCGAGCTGCTTCGGCTCTCGCCCCTCGCATGCGCACGTGCTATGGGGTGCACTTGCGCCACGGTGCGGCTGGCGGTGCACGCGCACCTGCGCGCTCCCCACCTCTCCGTCTCGGTCGAGGACGCCACCTTCGACAACGCCGCTTTCGTCGGACGGCTGCCCGGCCTTCGCTCGCTGCAGGTGGGTGGCGAGACACGTCCGAGATGTGTGCGAGACGCGACCGAGACACGCCCAAAGACTCGTCTTGCCCGGCGCACCTGCAGGTGGAGGGCGAGCCCGGCAAGCTCGACGTCAACCACTTGCGCGGCTTGGCCCGCGTCAACGTGAGCAAGCTCACCTACGAGGGTGCGCCGCCGCCCCTCCCCTCTCCCCGCCCCTTCCCTCGTGCCCGCCCCCTCGCCGCCCCCCGCCTCCCCCTCGCGGCGAGAGGGCCCCGTGCCGCCAGGTGCCCTCTTCCTCGGCTGCCTCCTCGCCGGCGGCGAGCAGACGATCCGCGTCTCGTCGGGCTCGTGCGTCCGCTTGCCGCCGCTCCGCTCGCGAGAGCGGCTCAACCTTGCGCGGCGTGGGCTGCAGGACGCCGACCTCGCGGCGCTGCTCGGCGCCCTCTCGCTCAACCAGTGCCTCAAGGAGCTTGACCTCGGAGGCAACACGGCGCCCTCCGGATCGCACGTCAAGGCGGCGATGGTGCAGGCGCTGCCATGGCAGCTGCTGCGCGCCTACCGCGAACTCCAGACCAACGAGATGCTCGCCAGCTTGACGGATGGCATGGCGACGGATGCGAACAACCCGCCAGCCGGGCTCGAGTGAGCGAAAGGTCTCGACCTCCATTCACTTTTCCACTCCTCAAAAACATACGTCACGGTGTGCCGCGTATACTCTCGTCTCCTTCCACCTCCTTTGACATGCATACGGCTTTATGATTTTATGTATATGTGAGATGTGTCGTGCATGTGTCCGGCGCTCCGCGTGGAAGGAGTTCCCGCCCAGCGATCGCGGAAGACTCACGCCCGGCGCTTTGCGCGCACTTCGGCGGACCGCAGCTTTAGCACCCTGCTCGTCACAGGGAAGCCAACCACCAGCACGAGTGGCGCCCATGCGAGCACGGCCGAAAGGGGAGCGGACAGCGGCGGCGAGAGCAGCACGGCGGTGACGAGAGCAGCCTCGAGGCAATGCGCAGCAAGCAGCACACGCCACGCCCAAACGCAGAGCTGCGCACCCGAAGCAAACGGAGAGTCCAGGAGCGCTGCCAGTGCGTCGCCAGGGACCGTCGGCACAAAGACGATGAAGCAGAGCAGACCAGCAAGCGGCAAGAAAGCGCACGCCGCGGGCTGGGTGATCAGGCGTAGTACAAGCGCCGCGGAGGGTTTGAAGGTGCGCCCGCCGTCGGTGGGCAAAGGTGTGAAGCACAACTTCTCGCAGGCATCGCCGTTGCAAGAGACGTATTCGATCTTCTTGTCTGCGCGAAGCTTGGCCTGCTTGGCACCAAAACCGGCGTGAGACCACGTCGCGAGCGTGACTTCGCCTCCGGACAGCTCCATCTTCCGCCTCGGAGCCAAGCCGCCAGCGCAGCGCAGTAGCTCTCCGCACGCTTTCACAGCATTAGTACAGTTGTATTCAAGCTGGCGGCTTCAGCATGTGCAGCGAAAAGCAGACGGATCTCCCCCTGTGAAAAAGTGAGGCGTGGTCTCTACTCGCCAGCCGCCAAGCGACTCCTGCGGAGGCGCTGGAAGTTGCAGCTTTTTCTCTCTTTCCTGCAACGCGGGACGGGTCTGGCGCGCACTCACCAAAACAGGTACCGGCAGGCACACCACGGGAGCAGAAAAGAAAAGAGGCAAGGATCTGGTAAAATAGCAAACCCTGTGAGTCGTCTTTCCAATTACATACACCAAAGGGAGATCGCGCCCGCCCGGGTTGTAAATTGTAAATGTTGCAATACTTGTAACGGGATTCGCACGTTGGCGCGGGCAGGTAGGTCCTCGAATGGGCAGCTGGACCTTCGAGGAGCTGCCTGGTGGACTTAGCTCGCTCGCAGACAAAAACACCGCCCGGCTCCTCGAGAAGTGGGACCTCGCCGCAAATAGCCAGGCGGCGCGCTTCCGCTACTCTGCTCCGTTCGAGGCCGGTGCCCTTGTTGCCCGCGCCCGCTGCGCCCTCATCGCCACCGCCCTCGCTGCCACCCTCGCCGTCCTCACTGCCACTTCCCTCCCACCACCGGAGGCGAGCTCGACGCCTTTGTGACCGCCTTCTTCAACTCGAACACGGTTCAGGCCGCAGCGCCGGTGCGTGCCGGCACTCGACGGTCATCGGCCGCTTGGGTGCAACTGGGTAGAGTAGACGCCGTCGAGTGCGAGCGCCTCTCGACCACGGTCGTGCGGAGAGATATTTTTGACCGGCTCGAGGAGCGTGGGATCGTGCGCGGCGGGTCTATTGCGCGGTGCATGGACGTGCCCTGTGGCGAGATGGTGATTGCTTCCGACCTGCTGCGGCTCATGCTGCTCGACGAGGGCAGCGAGGTGCGCTGCACCCACGCGAGGAAAGGATGTGCCATGAGAGCACTGGGGACCCACACGACCGTGTGCGCAGGAGTGGGCCACGTACAGCGACGGCGAGAGGCGAGAGCTCATCTTCCACCTCTTCCGGATCCTAGCCGTCGGTGGCGGCCTCAACCAGTGGGAGGACGACATTGCTCCGTACATTGACATGACAACCGCGCTGTACAAGGTGCGCCTGGGTGCGGAGATGTCGTGGAATACACAAACCCTGCAAACCCACACGCGAGATGTCGTGGAATACACAAACCCTGCAAACCCACACGCGACGTTATGCGTGCGCAACAGGACATGGTCGCCGTGCACAAGGACGCTCGCGGCAGCCTAGCCGTCCGCTCCGTGGTGTTGCGCGTCCTTTCTGTGGAGGGATCGGCTCCACTCTTCCCCTCCCCCTCCTCCCACCACCGCTGCCTGCTCGCCATTGACCCTCTTCTACGCCACGTCACCCTCTTCTACCATGCCTTCTACCCGATGATGTGAGTGAGACCTCACGCATGTGCATGCGCATGTGCATGTGCATGCGCATGTGCATGTCTGTCTGCGCTCTTCGTTTTCAGTGCGTGTAGAGCTCTTACGAACATACCCGATGTTTGCGAGAGGAGTGACCCGAAGGGTTTTGGTTTCTCGGGGGGGTTAGTGCACCACTATGCTGAGCCCTGGTCTGACAGACTGACAGCAAACCCCGGACAGCGCCTGACAGTGCCCGACAGCCTGACAGCGCTGACAGCACTTTCTCTGACAGTCTGACAGCACGTATCTGACAGCCTGACAGCAGAGCCTGACAGGCGAGGTGACCCGTCGCTGTCAGGCCTTAACGTGACAGCCTGACAGCTGCCTGACAGCCCGACAGCACACAGTGGCCTGACAGCAGCGCTGACAGCCTGACAGCAGCACAGACCGTACACAGACCCCGTAGAGCCTCTTTCTTATGCCCCATGAGGGTATAACAAAATTACATGCAAAGACATGACATGTGAGTGTGGTCCATGTCCATGTCCATGTAGTCATGGGATGGTCATGGGTCTCTCTTTCAACCCTCCCGCCCCACCTCTGCGGACCCCTCTCCAGCACCGGCGGCTGTGCTACTACAAATGAAGCTACCAGCTAGCCTTCTGGGGCCCTACAGTCATATGCCTACGGCGTCTGGGTGGGGGTGGCCGCCGCCGTCTGTGCCGCCGCCGCCGCCTTTGCCTCTGCGCCGCCATCTGCGCTCCCCAGGCGGCCGCCGCTGCCGGCGTGAAGCGCGTGATCACGCGGTAGGAGGGGGGCAGCTGCGTAGCCGCCGGCGTCATCGGCGTCAGCACCCCCTTGATAGTCAGCGCCCTCTTGATAGTGTCATAAGTGTGGCTGATGTGTGTCAGAGCCTGACAGCACCCCGACAGCACCACCTGACAGCACCTGACAGCAACAGCCCAACGTCTAACAGCAGCAGCAGCCTGACAGCTCTGACAGCTCCGACAGCGTCTGACAGCAACACCCGACAGCTCCGACAGCACCTGTGCTGACAGCTACAGATCACCTCGCCTGTCAGACACGCACCCGACAGCACCTGACAGCACTGACAGCACCTGACAGCTGGTCTGACAGAGGCACCTGACAGTGCCTGACAGTGCCCGACAGCCCGACAGATCACCTGACAGCACCTGACAGCCTGACAGCCAGGGCTCAGCCACTATGGTCTATGGACTATGCGCACCGCTAACCGTGCCTGCGCAAGCGCTGCACTACGACGCATCGGACTCAGACTAGCCCACCCTCGCTTCAGCAGCGTGCACCTCGTTCCTGTGCCGTGTTTATTATGACCCCCCCCAACGAACACTCCAGTGAGGGAGCAGGGCGAGACGATCGGAGGGGTCCCGTACTATGCGGAATCGACCCTATCCAGTGCTCAAGTGCTCAAGTGCTCACCCTCGCGAGCCGATCTTCTGCCTTCACGATTTTCAGTAAAAAACGCCATAATGCCTCCCAAATCAACGAAGGACTGCCAGAGCTACCCACGGTCGTGCGTCCCCGGCTTGCTCACCGGGACCGAGGACGGTGACGACGTGGTATGAGTGGCTGCGTCTCCCGCTGCCTCGGGTCGAAGGCAAGCGCTACGCGGACGAGCAACTCGAGCGACACCTCCACCAGGCCGCTCTCGATCAAGACTCCAGGGGAGTCCTCTGACAGGGGAGTCACCGCCAAAGCCAGGTGCGGGATAGTGCCCGCAAGCTCTCCAGCACATGCCAGCGCGTCGGCCCCAGGGCCTTCTTGCCGTGGGAGCCTTCTCCCCCGCCTTACGCATCGGGTCCCCTCACCCTCGCCGCCCTGCAGCGCGGATGCATTTAACGAAGAGGGCAAGCCGATGCCGGGGATGCTCTCTGTGATCCACTTTCTGATCAAGCTGCGGAAAGCGCGCTGCAACCGCCCCTTCCCCCGCCCCCGCCGTTGCATCTCACGCGCGTGCAGCCGCCTCTCGCACTCGTGCCGTTGTTGCGACTGCACATTATATAATGTGCAATCGCGGGTTCTGTTCGGTATCGCCCAACGGTCCCACCATGTGTTAGCCAGGCCCCATCGTGTGTCAGCGTGTTGTCTTACCTTCCATCGTAGGCGCCAATGGAGCGGCTCAAGGACTTCATGGCGGACAAGCACAACCGGGACCAGGCGTGGCGCACACGCAACTTCGCGCACGCTCGCTGTCTACAGCCCGCCAAGCCGGATGCCTTGTGCTCTAGCATCAACGGTCATTCGCCTGGCCTTCTGCTCCTCAGGTGTGGCGAACGATGGAGCGCTCCAAGGTGCAGAAGAAGGTGGCGAGGCACGCCTTCATGGGGATCCGGCAAGAGAACGTGCGCGTGCACCACCCGAACCCGCGCACATCCCCACCAACACCCTTCTCGCCTCTGCACCGCCTCTTTGTCCACTCCGCGACAGATGCGCGAGCTCTCACTACACGACGACTACCTGCTGTACAAGCATGTCGAAGACGGCGCCAACACCAAGGCGACACGAAGCCCAGGCAAGCAGGTGCACTTTAGCAAGGTCAGGTACGTTCTGGCGGTTGCGCACGAGGTGGTCAAAGAAGTCAATGCGCGGACCGGAGAGACCAAGATCGTTGGCAGGAAGCCCTCGTCGCGGTGGAAGATTCAAATGTTAGACCGAAAGGAGGCCGACTACGAGTTCATCGCGGACACCGTCGAGGGGCGCGACGCGTGGGTGGATGGCACGCGGCAGAACCTGCACACCTACCGGCGGAGGCGTGGCCTTGACGACCTGCTCGCGAGCCCGAAATATCACATGGACGAGGTTGCGGAAAAGTTTTCCGTCACCAACCTCGCCGACCCCGCCGACGTGCTGCCCATGACCACCCTCGACAAGGTGGAGGAGGAGTAAGAGTGTACCCCCGTGCGGGATGCTCGCGCGCTGCCACTTCTTTGGAAACGTTTAATTAATTAAACCAATTTTGCACAAAGGGACGCAAGTTACGTGGGAGGGGATGAGAGATTTTGATAACCAACAAGAAATGTTCGGAAAAAAAACTCTCTCGCACACTGATCACTGACTGGGCATGAAGGTTGCAGCGAGAATCGGCGAGAGACTGCGAAGAGAGATAGGAAGAGGCAGACTCCCTAGGGTGGGCGACGGATATCGCACCACACACCTCTCCTTAAAATCCCTGTGTGGTGGCGGCGTGCCGTCCTCCCATCCCTCCCTTGGGTTGTCTGTTTTCTTTCTTTCTTTCTTTCACTGAGAAATTCCATTACGCATTAGTGATACTTTCTTCTAGAGAGAGAGATTTTAGGAAACCAACAAGAAATTCTTGTGATTAGAGCCACATACACAAGAAAAAGGGACGTATCGACCTTGCGGAAAAAAGAATATTCGGAGTGTCTTCTAGAGAGAGAGATTTTAGGAAACCAACAAGAAATTCTTGTGCGTAGAGCCACATACACAAGAAAAAGGGACGTCAGCGGCTGGCAGCGGTGGCCGCAAGCTCAGCTCAGAGATAGCGGTGGGGTTGGCGTCCTGGGAAGGTGCGGAAAAAAGAATTTCGGCGCGCGCATTCGTCGCCAGCGGCGGCGGCGGCGGTGCCGAAAAGCGGCTCGTTGAAAAATTATTTCGTTGCCGGCCCCTTGCGTTCTCGCATGGGCTTACGCGTCGACCTGCGTGCTCGCGTTCGGGTATTGCAGGCCAAGTACATTCGTGCGGCGCGGCTTCCTTCAGCGGCGCAGAGAGAGGAGGAGGCATGTTTCCAGCTTGCCCGCGCCGTTGAGGCTCGCGATGCTGGCATCGCGCGGCTAGAGGTCACGGCTCACCGCGAAGGCATGCAACTTGCGTTGTATGCACAGAGTTTGCGCGAGTCGTACCGCAGTGACGTGGCAGAGGCGGTCGAGGAGCGAAGCCGCTGCGGTGCCGAATACTTCCGGGCGCAGCTTGTACGACTCAAGATCGAGCGGACGACTCTTTCCGTGGCGCACAGTCGACGATTGCGCCTTCTCGACACAGCTGTTGCCGCCGCCAAGCGAGTCGCGGTGAGGACTCGGGGCGACGATTGCGGTGAGGATGCCACCGCGCCGGAGTCATCATTGGAGGCGTTGCAGTCCTCTCTCGCCGAGGCGTTCGCCTTTGATGGGGTCGACGACGATTTTCTTAAAGAGAACCACGCCTACGTCGCACGCACGCACGGCGCATTCCTCGCGCGGGTGCGCTGCTCACCCTATTGCCCCGTCCCGCCTCCCTCCCACCCACTCCTCCTCCTCGCCCCAGCGTGACGCCGTGGGCTGGGCCGATGCGGTCGCAGCTGCGCTGCGAGCGGCGGTCGGACTGGAGGAGGCTCGGTTGCGCGCCAGTGCCGCCGAGGCTGCGCTCAAGGTGGCGAAGGAGGGCGTGGCGGCGGCGGAGGCCGCGGTGCCTGCGCGTCTGGCAGGGCGGCCGGCGACCCTCGCGCGGCTTCTCCTCGGCGACGCGGAGGGTGGCGCCGATGGTGGTATGTGGGCTGTTGCGGCGAGCGAGTTTGCCAAGATCCCTTACAGTAATGGGCGCGACAGACGGTACGAGGAGGTGAAGGCGGCTCTTCGTCAACGATACGGTCGTGACGCCATCAGTGAGTGCACCAAGCCTCGGCTCAAGGCACTCCCGCAAGATAGTACCACAGCCAGCCACGCTCGTAGCAATCTGGTGCGCAGCCCTGTGCCGTTCTCTCCGCGCGGCTTCGAGCCCTGGTCGATGAGGTACTCGACGCCCTGCGCGCTAGCAGCCCTGAGGCCCTCTGCGGACCCGTTTGCATCGCACAACCCGCAAACCGACGCCCTCTTTAAACGCCCGTTTGCCTCGACCCTTATCCCGCAGGCGCTCGCCGCAGCGCGGGGCGAGGAGACGGCGCTGCAGGGGGTGGCTCTCGCCGCCGAGCCGACTCAGTTTCGGCCCGCCTGGAGCTGGCCTCCCGCGGGGTGGCAGGGCGCCGCTGCGCGCGAGGGGATCGATGCCGCTGCGAACTTCGAGCGGGAGGAGGGAGCCAAAGTCGACGCGGCGGAGGCGGCGAAGCGGTGCTCCGAGGAGGCGGCGGTGCATCTACTCGGACGCATCATTTTCAGCGAGGGGAGCGCGGAGGCACGGCTCGTGCGCCGGTGGGAGAGCGCGGTGACGGCAGCCGCTCGCAACCCCGCGCTGCCGGCCGAGCGGAGCCAGCAGCTCGCCTTCGACGGCGTGGCCATGCTGGCCAGCAGGTCGGTGCTAGCCGTTGACCGCCCCTCCCCTCCGCCGAACGTCCCATCCAAGCCCGCATTCCCTCGCTACTTCGGCCGCAGGCTCGTCCAGGCGGCAGTCACAGATGGGGCTGGCGCGTCACGGGCCCACAGGCGGGCGACGATGTTGTGCGGTTGCGTCATGCTGCCGCGCGTGCACGAGCCACTCCTGGCTCGCTTCGCAGACGCCTTCCGCAGCGAGCAGCGGCGCCTCGAGCAGCAGCAGCAGTGGATGCGGCGGCTTTCTCCATCGGCTCTGGGAGTGGAGAGGCTCCTCGAGGGGAGCAAGGGGGCGGGCGTCGTACTCACGCCTCTCCGGGGTGCTCTCGACGAGCTTGGGGCAATGGGCGCAGAGCCTTGTGCGCACCGCTACCTCAGCCGCATGCGCGCGTTCGTTCGCACGGTTGCCGAGTTCTGCGAGAGAGGGGGCGACCCAAGGGTGCGGGCGGCGGTCGAGATGCCGCAAGGTGCACTGAGATAGTGCTGAGAATCATGACGAGATGCCGCAGCGTGATTTCCCGAGAGAGAGCCGAGTTGCGCCAAGGTGTCAGCCCCCTCCACAGCTAGCGCTGCGTCACTAGGCGTTAGTGCGAGTGCCGACGAAGTTTCCGGCGCGGACATGCTGCTCGCGATGCTCGTCGTCGTGATTATATACGCCGACCTCCCGCATGGCTGGCAAGCCCTCCAGCGATGCAGACCTCCTGGAGGTGCGAACGGCGTCTACTCACATGGCCTGGTTGTGAGCAGGCCTGCGCTCAAGCTGATGCAGGGCGGGGTGCCCCTGAACGACATGCAGGGCGAGACCGGCTACTGCCTTTGCAGCGTCGAGGCCGCCTTCGAGTACGTCCGCGGCGCGAGGCGCGAAGAGTTTGCAGACGAGAGGAGGATGTCGGGCGGATCGCCCGCGCCGGTGCTCAGGGAGTTGTCCGTTTGATTCTTAGGGCTCTCCTTTTTTACGCATCACAATGACGGCGCACCCCCATGAGCATGACCGAAACGTGCAACAGCGCGAATAGAGCCGTAGTAGCCCGTAGAAATAATGATATTATATAAAAGTAGAGGAACAGTGGAGAGGACAGGGAGGGACGTGTCCGAGGGTATTAGAGAGAAGGAGAATAGACAATATCAGTTCCCTTCGACTCTACGTACCCTCAACTCCCCTCTGTCTCCCAGTGCCTCGGACAGGCTTACCAACGGCTGTTGAGTGTGTTTTGTGTTCCGGCAGCAGTGATCTTGCGCGCCGCGTGCGTCTCAGGACCGCTACCGTTGCCTCCTCACCCCTCTTCTAGCGCGTGTCATGCGCGCAACTCGTAATCCTCGGCCTCAAGCCTCGCCTCGGCCTCCTTTCTCTCCTTGGCCTCGAGCCTCTCCTTGTATTCCTGCGCCCGCGCCTGCTTGAGCCACGCACGCTTGGCGTTCAGCAGCGGGCCGTGCACGTACTGGGCAAGCCCACTGTGCGTCGTGCCTAAGACACGACCGAGACGACTGTCTGCTCTGTGATGCTTCCGGGTGGCGGGCCATCTTCGGGTTGATACGACTACTGCGTTTGGGTTTGCGCCTATGCCGCCACGGCCGAGCTCAGCGAAGGAGTCGCCCTCGTCATGGTAGAGGATCCAGCAGCTCCACATCCGGTGCGCCGCTGCGCGTGCCGCCTCCTCCCGCGCGAACCTGCATTCAGGGATAATTATTTCAACACCGTGTGAGATGGGATCGTGTGCAAAAATGCGGTGATTTGCTACTCGCGCCGGTGGCAACCTTTCTGCAGTATCTAGCTCGCGCCGTTGGATCTTCATGTCGGCCGCCCCAGCGACGAGCAAATACTTGCCCGCGGTCCACGCCCGAGGCGTCCGTGCCTTGGGAAGTGGCACTGAGGCGGCGCTCCAGGCGTTTGCTGTCGCTGCCGCCTTGGCCACCTTGAGGAGCTCAAACCGCCGCCGCGCAAAGCCGTCCACAGGCAAGCCGCCTGTGAGGTCGTGGGTGGGTGGGTGGGTGGGTGTGGGGGGGGGGGGGGGGGGGGGCACAGATGGCGGTGGTGCTGGAAGCGGCAATGGGCTCGATGTGTGGCGGAGCATGCTTTGGTCGTGCACAGTGTAGAGCTCGAGGAGCTCCTGTGGGACAGGGGCGCCAGAGGTGTCGATGGGCTTGTCATGGGTCCCGCACTGAGCTTAGCTCATCGATGAGTTTGTGCCTCCTTGAGATCAGGAGTGAAGCCATTCTCCGCCACCATCTCCATCGCCTCCTTCTTAAGTGCCACCCGCTTGACGGCTTGTAGCTTCGCATCCACGTACTGCGTGATCTTGCCGTGCGACGCGCCAAAGCCCCCGCGGCTGACCTCGACATACGCGGTGGATCCTGAGCAGAGCAGAGTTTGACCATGGGCGGAAAGCAAGGCGAGAAAAAACTGGGGAGGGAATGGGGCGACAGACGTCGGAGGAGGCATGGGATGAGGTGAGGCTGCGAGCGGCGGCTTCGTCCAGGAGCCTGCGCCTTCACGATAGAGGACCCAACAGCTCCACAGCTTGTCCGCCTCCGCACGAGCGCTAGACTCGCCGGAAAAGCGCTCGACCTGTTCACGCAAGTTGAAGTGCTGCGATCAACACCGATAACGGCAAGGGGGCAATCGCCTTGATGTCGGCTGGCCAGGGCGGGTCGTTGACGAGCACGTAGCTGGATGTGGGCGCGATTCCGCCCGACAACTCCGGCCCAGCCGTCGCAGCCGACCTCTCCGGCCGCGCCTCCTGCTTCAAGGCGGCTCGGGAGATGGGCACTGGCAGCGCCTTCGGCTCGCCCTTTGCCGCCGGCCTCTCAGGCAGCTCGCAAACAACCTCCGATCGGCCTGCCCGGGTCGCCTCGCTGCTGACCTCGGTCGCGCTGGTTTCGGTCGTGCTGGCTTCGGGTTTGCTCGGCGGAGCGGCGAACCTGGCTGCCCGAGTGGTCTTCTTCTGACTCATCGCCTGAGAGCAAAGTTGAGAGTGATAGTAGGGTCATAGCAGTGGCGAGAGGGATGACGATGGAGGAAGAGACAGTAGTGGTGAAGAGTCAGCCGTGGCGGACGAGGGCGACATGCACAACGCGCCAAGTGGAGCAGGCGCCGCGTGACGAAGGAGAAGGTCTTGTCGTCCCAGCCGGCGAACGCGTCTTTACAGTAAGAGACAAACTCGTGCATCTGGACAGTGTCGGCGGCGCCGTCTCTCGCCCCGCGATGCGCCGCAATCCGGTCAAAGTCCGACGCCAACCGCGCGTCGTCGGGGTCGAGGTAGATGGCGCACCACTCGTCACGGCCTATCACCCGCGCAATGTCTGAGAAGGCCCGAGATTCGAGATGAAGGGGTCCACCTCGTCGCTTCCTATGAAGCCGCTGCCATTCCAATCCAGCGAATCGAAGAGCTCGATCAGGAGGGTCTCCCGACGGCCCTTGGCTAGGCGCGGCCCGTTTGGCACGCCACGGATCACGCAGTCGGCGCTCCCGCTCGAGGCTATTCTGAACGCGACCGCTGCGTCAACCTCCTCGAGGTCGACGGTGTCCTGCAGTGGAAGGGTGGTGGCCGTGACAGCGATAGCGGAGAGCAGTGTGGGGTAGAAGAGTCAGAAGGGTCAGTAGTGAGTGAGATAAGGTTGGGACTTCCGGGGGATGGGGACAAGGGCCTTGTCATCCCGGTCGCGCTCGCCGCGCAACGCAGCGACCCTTCCCCAGAGAGACCCAGCGGCCACTGCGGCTTTCGAGACGTACGTCCTCTCCTCTTCCGTAGCATGCGCTGCGTCCGTTGAAAGCGCGTCCGCTGCCTGACCGCAGCCCCCCGTTGCAGCTGCCGAGAGGCCACTGCAAGCGCTAAAGTTTGTGGCCTCGTAACGATCGGGGCCGGGCGACTCTTGATCATCGGAAGAGTCAACAGAGGGGTTCGGCTCGGGTATCGGCCGTTGTCCCAGGTTCTCCCCCATCGCATCGCCGCCGCCGTTCGCCAACGCCTCCCGCATCGCCACCCTCGCCATCGCCTCGGCTACCTCGCTGTCTGAAAACGGTTGCGGTGGCGCCATGGCAGCCATCTGCGGCTCAGCTTTGCGCCGCGCTGTGCCGCGTTTCTCCGGGGCTTCCCTTGCCGCTGCTGCTCGCGCCGCCTTCCTCTCCACCTCCTTCTTACGCTCCGCCTCGGCCGCACTCTTCCGCTCTCTGGCGGCATCCTTCGCCGCAGCCCGATCGGCCTACCGGGGGGGATGCATTCTGTATTCAATCACCGCGTCATTTCTACACGATTACGCCGTCCGTTGATATCCGACGCCAGCCGGGGTGCGGATCCTTCCCTGCCAATAGTCATACAGAGGCTCAGATTCTGCATCTAGGTCTTCACGCCTTCTTCTCCGCTGCAACGGCCTTCCCCTCAGCCTTCTTCTCCTTGGCCGCCGCCGTCTTGGCTGCCTTCCTCGCCCTCACCGCCGCGGTTCCCGCATCGTACTCGGTCTGTGAGGCGGCCTGCAGTCGGCCTGCAGAGTGGACCCTCTCCTTTGTGAAGTAGCCGGCTGCCGAAACAGCCCCGCGGCCGCGACTGCTGCCGTCCTGGACTCCATCGTTGTCCGTCACCGCGTCACTCGCTTCGAAGTTGCCCTCTTCACTCCACGTCCACGGATTTACGTCGTCTCTGCCGCGGTGAACGCGGGGCGAGCGACGCCAAAGCGGCGTTGCCATATGTCCACTGTCAACGGTTTCGAGGACGCACGAGGTCCGGATACGATCGAAGTTTCCTCTCATGAGAATTAGAAGAATTTTACAACCAAGCCCTCTCACGCAGAGAATAATTTTGAAAACCCCCTGCTCGGTACCCCCCCTGCACATCTAAAGGCAAAGCTGTGGGGTGGGGGGGGGAGGACAAGAGCCCTGACCCAGCTAGCTCCCGCCTTTACCCCCCCCCCCCCCCCGCCCCCGCTCACTCGTGTGAGCAGTGGTACGCTCAAGCCGGTTGCGTTCACCGCGCCTTCGAGCCCAATACACCTTCGTCGTGCCGATTGCTGGCGGTTGATGAGGGCCTACCTTGGCCTTTAAGGGGCAAAGTCGGCTTTCCCAAAAAGGCCTGTTTTCTCGTTTTTCATGCACACCCGGACACAGCCGAGCCTCAGGCGTCCAAATCGGGGGCTGTGGGGTAGACACGGCACCGGAGGCTTGGCCCGGGGGCGAAGTGAGGGGCGGCGAGGGCTATCGCGAGCACCAAGGCGACTTGCGGGAATCACTGCTGCACACCACTGGCGCCCAGTCCGACGGCCTGACGGCGACTCATGGACTTTTCACGGGGGGGGAGGCTGCCCACGTGTTGCGTATGACCTATGCTCGTGTAGCGGTTGCCGTATCGCCAGTGTTGAAGTGATTGTTGAAGTTATCTTTCGCTGGGGGCAGCCCGGCAAGGCTACTGCGAGGCCGCAGCAGCAACACACAAATACGGCCGCCGGGGACCGATCGGCCTAGACGGCTAGCGCATGACCAGGGGAGCTGGCAGACGGTCCTCACGGACCAAGACACATAGCTGAGAGGGCACCTCCGACGCTCAGCCACCAGTAGCAGTATATCTCTCAGCTGAGCCTGGAGTTGAGGCTCGGGCCGTCACGGGAGGGGAGCACGGTTTCATCGGAACTGTCGCGCAGAAAGGAGCGGCAGCACGCGCCAGCGCGATGGCAGGGGTCGAGTTGCGATCGCCTATGCGTTGAACAGAGGAGTACTGGCTCCTCTCTGCCCAGAGACTGCAGTGGCAGTGTGGTCTGGAGCCGCAGCATGCCGCCCGCTCAGACCAGCCGCAGTGACTGCGCCGCGAGCGCCGTGAGCGTGTTCAGGCTGACAGACAGGCGCAGGCAGCGAGGGCCGAGCGCAGGCGCAGCGGCGCACGCAGCGAGGCACCTGTCAAGCAAGATCCGCACGCCGGGAGCGTCGCTCGGCGTGGGTTCGTTCAATTGAGGCGCGCCAGATCCTCGCGAGATTCTCTGACGCAAGCTTTCCTACATATCTATTTTTGTACTCTTTGCTGTACTTTGGGGACGTTATATATTGTAAGTACCCGTCCTCAAAGTACAGAAGAGAGTACAGATTTCCCCTCTGCGAAGCCTGCCTTTACATAGTAAAAAAGAAAACCAGCGCGGCTTTTCCCCTGTTCACGCCCTCACACAGGCCAAAGTTGGACCGCGCGAGATCGCCCCCTCGCGCCGTCCGTCGGGCCCGAGCTGTATGTCCGTGCCAAAGGCCTCTCCCGCCCATCGATCGCCTCTGGGCTGACTCGTGCAAGCGGTTCTCCGCGTATCGATGGTGGCCAGTAGCCGGCACTGGTTTGCCGGATGCTGCAGCACACGATAGCTGTGACGCGACAGATACCCCTCTGTGCTGCTGAGCGGGTCCCCGACGCGTGCGCGTGGACGGAATTCGACCCGCGAGGAACCTCTCGAGCCGTTGGTAGCGCTCCACCTCCGACCGGACACGTCATCTGGCCCTGCGTTGAGGCTGCTGCGCATGCGCTGCGCATGCATACCGCCAGGGTGCTCACCACGCAGATGCCAGAGACGCGCCGATCGCGGCTGCCTCGACTGCACACGTGTCCACAGACCTCTCCGGTTGACCACTCGGAGATCGGCAGGGCGCGAATTCGCATTTCGGTTCTTCCTCAGAGACAGAAGGCCCACTCAGCATGCTGCGAGGCAACGCCAACATGTGGCATAAAAGTGCACTCCCTGCCACAGAGAGCCACTCGGTGCAGCCGCGCAGCGGGCTCGTGGCATGACCCGATCCGTGTGGAGTGCACGAGGTGCTCGGCAACGGGTGCAGCCCTGATGCGAGCCGTGCTGGCATGCTCACGCTGTGCGCCAAAGGCTCGCCACCGCCAGGGTCACAAACCTGGTCCGCAACGCGATTGTGGCCCTGGTATGGTGGCTTCCTCGATGGCTTGTGACCACGGCGAGCGAACATTTAGCGACCGGCTGCGCAGCCCGACGCCGACCTGGCTCACGGGACCCACAAAGCAGCTATCGCGCAGCGCCCGTCGCTACACGTAGACAGTGAACACTGGATACGTCCAACGGCGTCCAACTTGGTAAAATTCGGTCCAGCTGATTAACCCTGGTAGGTGGACAAAAATATGCGTTTTTTGGCCTCCCCTCCCTAACACTAGCCGGCCAAAATGTACTCTGACCGGTTAATATTAGGGAGGGGGGGGCGGTCGGGTGTCAGACCTAGCGCTAGGCGTGCGAGGCTGACGTATTTTGGACAATCCACCTACCAGGGTTAAGACTTGTCTGGATAGAACAAAAGACGCTGGAACGCCGATGTCGTGGCTGGAAAAGTCGGCCGCCCCGGCACGCGCGCGTAGCGCCCGAGGTGCGAGCTTGCTCGGCACCTGGGCGGGACGCGTCCACACGCCGCGGCGCGCCCGTGCGCTGGCGGCGCTCGCCCGCGCTGGCGGCGCTCGCCCGCGCTGGCGGCGCTCGCCCGCCACCGTGCTGTCGCGGCAATCGCGGTGCTCACCGCGCCAGCGATGTGGTCATTCAAGCACTGCCCTGCCCGGCACAACCAGGTTAGTGGCACGGCACCCGCGGCGCTCCTGTGCCCGCGCTGCGCGTCGGTCGCGACCTACGCGCCGGCGCTCGGCGCACCCAAGTCCAATCTGGAGTTGATCGTTGCTTCCCTTTCGCGAGGCGGTGCGGACTGCCGGAGGCCTCGGTCTCCCCTCTGCCCGTGCGACTTTCGCTAACTCCCCAGCGTAGATCGTCTCTCTTCGGCGCGCTCGAGCACGTTTGGCACCAAGAGGCTTTGATTCTTACGACCCTCACCCGCCAAGGCAGGTGTGCACTCTGCTAGTACTTGTGTACTCACACCACTACACTGTGGGGTGTGCCCGAGCATGATGTATGTGCGCGTCTGTGTGTGTGTGGGACAGACGTTGTTGTCCTATGCGCGGGCTTCCCGCGGGGACCGAAGACGTAACAGGAAACAGCTGTCTGGCCAACGGCAACGCATCGGCATGCGAAAAGGTTTTACAGAGCTGTCTGTCAGACGCCCAGCCCTCCCCACAGGCAGAGCGCTCCTGCTGCGTGGCGCTGGCGGGGGGGGGTGGGGGGGGGGGGGGGTCATGTGCAGGGGGGTGAGGGGGTACCCCGAGCAGTGTGTGCGGCCTGCTCTCTCGCAACGCGTTTTGGGTATTTTCCAAAAAGAAATCCCGCTGCCCGGCACGATGACACACCCACATGATTAATTACTTGTGTCGCTAATGTTCGAACAAGCGGTCGTGTCGTGCACCTCGGGTGTTGGGGAGGTTGTGGGAGCCGCTCAGGACCATTTTGGGGGCGCAATTCGCCTGGTTTCCCTTGAACACGCGGTTTCGCCCCCTCGGAAGCGCCCACATAATCGCGCGTCCCCCCCTGTGGCGACGGTCTCGCGCACCTGCGCCAGACCCCACCGCACTAGCTACATAGATCGTCAGCAGTAGGCGTGCTCAGAGCCCGGATTTGGGCCCATTCGCCAGAGGGCTCGAGAATGGCCCCCGGCAACGTGCAGCTGCAGGCCAGAGCGCGTGAGGTGAGGCCGAATCCGCAGTCGCACGAGCACCGCTGCCCCCAGCGGTGATCATGCATGGAGTGGCACGGCGGATAGATACGCCCGCCTGCGAGCGTGGGAGACAGTCGCGGGGCGTGAGGTCTCAATGTATCGCAGGCTAGGACCGGATACGGCGGCGCGGGAGAGGGAGGGAGGGGTGAGTGGTGGGCGATGAGAGTGATTTCCCCGATCTCGCTAAAAATGGCCCAGTCCCCTCACGGGGGACCGGGCGAGCACGCACCTCGCGTCTGAGCGCGAGTCGACGAGTGGTCGCCGAGAGATCGCCGAACCACGTTTCGAGTGCGCGCGCACACAGCACAGCTGCGGGTTGTAACTCGACTGCCGATCGCGCGTGCGGGATGTAAATGCAGCTTTCTGGCGCCAGGTGCACGGTGGCAGGGACTGGAGGCTCGGCCGAAGGGGAAGAGCAGTCCTCAATCGTCACGTAGAGGTCGCTGGGCTGGATCCATCGAACTGCCACACACCTGGAGCGGAGGCACATCAGGTCTTGCGGCACGCTCTCCGACAGATGCATGCCTTTTGAGCAAGCCCACGCGCCTCCACCGCACATCGAGAGCGCCGAGTTGCCTTGCCGCGGGGTAACCGGCTCAAAGAGGTGGGGTTCGAGCGGCGCCTGAGCGCGTGGGAATGCGTAGTGGGCTTGGAATGAGACGCCTGGCGTGCATCGGGCTCGGACGGTGTCTGTTGTGAGCTCACCGCTCGACGCACAAACCAGGCGCTTTGGGCGCCCGCCAACTGGCCTCACGGTCGAGTGAGCGGAACGCGGCTCGCCGAACAGCAATACACGTGGCCGCGCAACTGTAGAGGTACGAACAGGTATGCAGATCGCGGCGCGCCGACTACTGGCACGGCGTCAGAGCCAATATTGACCAAGGGCTCTGCTGGCCTGCCGACTCTCGCCGACCCTTCGGGCTCACCCCACGGCTGGCCATCGCGTGAACAGGACGTGCCCTTCCGTTTTGGGGCAGCTCAAAACCTTCCCCACGGGACACCAGGTCGATATCCGGCTAAACCACACGACCCCGAGAAACGCATAAGCCGCCCCGGCGCTGCCTCCGATTCCGGCCGTATCGGCCATTTCGCTGGGGCGGCTTATGCGTTTCTCGCCAAAATGGCAACAAAACACAAAGTAAAGATGTCGAGCCAAAGCTGTTGACGCCGAGTTCGGCACCCGATTCGCCCCAAAACTGAAGGAGGGGGCGCGGCTCGGAGATGGCAAGGCACGGCGAGTGCAAACGTGCGGCTATTGTGACGCGTTTATAGGGGCTCCAAAACCTCCTTTTCAGTGGTAAGCGCCACCTGGCACCTTGCGCCGTGCCCCCCAGCCGCGTGTGCGATCGCCCACGGATCCGGAGCGGGGGATAGGAGCCCGAAACGTCCACGCAAGTATGCTCGGCGGCTCGTCAGAATGGTTTTTCAAGCGTTGTGTCATCGGGCCCCGGTTTTATAGTTTCTCTTCAATCACAAGAGGTACACATGTGACATGAGACCATAAAAAGACTAAAAGAGGGCGCGGGTACTAGAAAGCATGGTCCATGGACATCATGAAGGGGATGAATATTGTGAGCTCTCCGCACACAGTCTCAGACGGCCCACTCGCCCCGGCCGATGAAGCCCCGCCGTACAATCTCCGCGAAGTCCCAAGAGTCCTTGTCGTCCTCGTGCGGCGCCTTCCATGTCCAAAAGTGACCCCCGAGCCGGTCGCCGCGCGTCAAGGCGTCCGCCTGCCGCGAAGCAAAGCCTGTCCGCAGGGCGCGCTGCTCCGGGGGGTTCATTGCGCGGAAGGTAGCGGCGGCGGCGCCGTACCAGGGCAGGCAAAGTGACCACTCACCCGCAAACGCGGGCCGGACTGTTATGGAAAGGAGGGCGGCGTAGAGCTCAACCAGCGGCCCAGTGTAGAGCCACAGCGGCAGCGAGGCGTCGTTGCCGCGGCCCCGCTCGAGGAAGCACGTGTACGTGTGCAGGTCGTACACAAGGTTTGGGTGGCGGCGCGCCGGCATCCGCCAGTCGAAGCTTGCCCACGCCTGCGTCGCCATGTGCTGGAAGAAGTACAAGTTGATGACGACCGCGACCCGCTCGGGCGGCATGTGCCTCCGCACGGCCTCGGAGCCCCGTCGGTAATATTCGAGCAGCGCCGTGGTGCCCAGCCGCGGCTCATTTAGCAGCTCGAAGGCGACGATGCACGAGCGGTTGGAGAATCGCGCGGCGACCGTCTCGACAGTCCAAACCGCCGCGTCGGCGTCAAAATGGCTCGGGTCCCAATCCGGGTACTCGAGGCCGCTCGTCTGCTCTCCGTTCTGCGAGCCTGGAGCGCCGTGCAAGTCGAGCACCACTGTGAGCCCCTCCTCCTCCGCCCAAAGCACCGCGTCGTCGAGGTAGCCTAGCCCGCGACCCCGCACGTATGGCTCGGCGGCAGCGTCCGTCGGCGCGGCGATCCACCAGCCGAACGGTATGCGGACGCTGTTGAGGCCGAGCGCCGCCGCCGCGGCAAAATCGGCGCGAGTGATGAACACGTCACGAAAGGCAGACACCGCCTCGGTGGTGCCGGAGCCGCGCCGCGCTAGAGACGCGTCGTGCTCGTCGTCCTGCGCCCACGAGGAAGAGGGTTCAAAGACACCCGGAACCGTAGGCGGCCCGACCAGCCACCGCTCCGCCACCAGCCAGCCGCCGAAGTTGACGCCTCGCAGCCGCGCGTGCCGCTCCGCCCAGTCGGCCGCGAGGGGGTCGTGCGCTGCTGCCCACAGCAGCAACGCGACAAACGCAGCCGCCGCGGCCGTCACAGCGACGAGGCGGCCGAGGAGCAATGCGCAGCGGCCGGTGCGCCTCGCAGCTGTCGGTGGCGAGGATGCAAGGACAACGCTCAGTTCAGCGAGGGAGTCGACGAGGGTGACGCGGCGGAGCGGCATCAGCCGGGAAGCGGAAAGAGCGGCTGAGCCTCGCGAAGGGAGAGTCTCGGAGGATCTCCAGGACTCCTCCAAGCTGCCGCCGTCCGTCCTCCGCTGCAAGAGGTACGGAGGAGGAGGGGCAACTGGCTGGGAGAGTGACGAGTCGGGCGGCGGAGCAGGCAGCAGCCCGTCTCCCCCCTTCGCGTCGGCCGTCGCTCGCTTCGCAACCAGCCCCGCGGCCGCCGTGGCCCCCCTCGCCGTCGCCCCCGCCGCTCCCGACCCTGTCTCCTCCCTGTGCTCCTCGCTGCGCCGCCCCTTTCGCTGCAGCTCAACGCCCTCCTCCACGCGGCTCAGCGGGAGCGGGTCGTCGGCCGCTCCGCCGCCCCCTGCCTCCTCCGCCGCCCCGTCACCCAAGTCTGAGCTGCGCGAGACTGCGGAGAGGATCAGCTCGCCCCACGTCGACTCTCTGCCGGCGCCCGGGGTCCGGCCGCAACCACTCGCGGCCGCGGCGGCGTCAGCGACGCAGAGCGCCACGAGAGTGGCGTAAAGCGCGGCGCTGCCCCGCGATCCACCACGCTCCCAAGTGCCCGCACATGCCTCGGCGGTGAGACTCACCACGACCGTCACGCCGAGAAGCGTGCGACGGCGCACCGGCGCGCCGCCCTCGGGCGGCGGTAGCCCCAAGGAATCGGCATCGACGACGGCGAGAAGCAGACCGAGCGGAGCGAGGAGGAGGGCGGCGCCAGCGGTGCGGACAAGGCGGGCGAGCAAGGCCGCCGGGCGCGAGCCTCCACCCCGATCCGCAGCCGCGATCTCCCAAGCGCCGCCAAGCAAGCCACGGAGCCATGAGGCGGCAAGCAGGGCAGCGGCCGCAGCGGCCGGAGCGCCGCTATACACTCCCGCGAGGAGGAGGGCGGCGCCGCACACCCGAAGCGCCGCTCGCAAGACCATGCGGGCGCCTCCGCAGGCGCCGCAACCGCCGCAGGCGCCGCAGGCGCCGCAGCCGCCGCAGCCGCCGCAGCCGCCGCAGCCGCCGCAGCCGCCGCAGCCGCCGCCGCAGGGACTGCGCCGTGCACCAAGCGGAGAAGCAGCAAGGACAGCGGCAGGCAGCAGCCAACGGCCAGCGCCTCGTGCGAGGGAGAGGACGGCGGCGATAGCGGCGGCCGCGTAGGCGGCCTGGAGCACGCACCGCCATAGCCGACCGCTGTGCGGCGCGACGCCGCTCCTCTCCCTCGTTCTGGGTGCGGCGCCCGCGGCGAATGCAATCGCGTGCAGCGCGGCTGCCGCGGTCAGCGCGCTGAGGAGTGGCGGCGCGTGTGCCCCGTTGCGCTGAGCGGCGGCGGCAAACGCCTCGGAGAGGCTGGCGGTGAGCACCGAGAACGCCGCCGCCGCCATCAGCAGGGCGGCGTCTGCCAGCAGCCGAGATCCTCTGGCGCGGAGGAGGAGCAGCGTGCCACTGACGGGAGCCGATATGCAAGCCGAGCCACTGACATTCCACGACTGGCCGGCCAGGCAACATCGAAGCGACACTGCAAACCACGTAGCTGCGAGTTGGCCCGCGACTGCAGCCCTGCCACACGGCATGTGCGCCGCTAGCAGAACGCCAAGCAGGCCGGGCAGACCAGCCAAAACCAAACAAACTGAAGCCGTGAGGCCGTGACCGGCTGACCGGCTGCTTGTGAGCGTCCCGGCCGGCTGCAGTGCCGGCTCGGGGGGCTCGTGCATTTGGGGCTCGTAGCGCGAGCCTCTGTCCCCACTGGCGGACCTGGCGAGTACCTAGGCCTAGAGGCACACGCACGCTCCCTGGGCTCGTAGCGCGGGGGCGAGCCTCTGACGGACCTGGCGAGTACCTTGGCCTAGCGCTCCCTCGAGGTCTCTCTCTTGGAGCAGAACCGAGGTGTAGTGAGCTGTGAGCTGTACACGGAGCGAGGGTCTGTACCGAGGCGTACAGGAACGGTACAAGCAAGACTACATCAGCCAAGCCGCGGTTGAGCGGACGTCCGACAAACAGAGCAATAAGCAAGCCGGCCTGACACGTCCCGCACATGTCCCTGTTCACACAGACATCTCGCTAGAATAGCGAGACGTCTCTCCCTCTCTCTCTATTCATGAGTAGGGCGTTCACACTCCCAACACGAGGGTCCAAGAGACCTAGTTCCAAGCGTGACTCGAAAGAACCCAAGCGTGCTCGGAGAGGGTACCCTGGGTGGGCGGGGCCTCTACTCGTCAGGGCGCGGACTGGCGCCCCTTTCTGCTCCGCTGAGCGCTGTCTTGACTCTTGTCACGACACTAGGCACGGGACTAGCCTCTAGCGCGCACTGGCACTAACAAGACAAGAATTCTTAGTCGGGTACAATAATCAATATCAGCAGGCGTGGTCGCTTGTCGGCGTACCACACTCGCTCGCGTTGCGCATCAGCTCGGACGTCAGCTCCGCCGGCGCCATCGCGAGCGGCAGCTTCTCGACCGCGTGTCGCCGCACCGTCGCGCTGCTCCCAGCCCTGCTCCCTCCCGGCCCCCCGGCGGGCGGCGTGCGGGGCGAGAGCGCCGCGCCGCTGGTGATTGGGTTGGCCAGACCCTGGAGGCGGTGACCATCGCAGGGCCTGCCGTCGCGCAGCAGGGCGATCGCGTTCTTGTACGCGTCGATCAGCAGCAGCTCGAGGTCGATGTCGATGGCGTCGTCGCCAAATGGGTCAGACATGGCAATGGCCACATCCTTCAGGCCCAGAAAGCAGATGCAGATAATCGCAAAGAAGAAGGGCTTTAGGAACCACTCAATTTCATCGAGCGTGACAAGGCCATAGGAGATGAGGAAGAGATCGATGACCAGGAGTAGCGTGAGAACGTGAAAGTAGGGGAAGGGAACCGGCTGCTTCATCCAGTTGGACATCTGCCCGCAGTGCCCGCGCAGTCCAAAACACAGGTCGCGAAAGCAGGCGTAGAGATCGGTGTCGTAGCTCCTAGGCGTGCTGCTACCGGCCGCGGCTCCCGGAAAGAGCACCGCCTCAACCTCCGCGAGAGCCTGTTTTGCAGCAGGATCCCATCAGTCAGTCTGCTGCCTCTCCGCTGTAGCTGTCTCGCGAGCACAACCCAGACGAGCAAAAGAAACGGCTGGTAGCCGCCGAACGTCTTGACGGCGGCCGTCTCACCCGCGTTGAGTAGCGACCGCTTGGTGGAGATGATCGCCCACTCCTTGTCTGAAGGAAGCATCAGAGGAGCTCAGTTAGAGCCTTCTCAAGCGGGTCGTGTGAGGTGACTGGTGTGATCCCCAGGTCGCGAGACGCGACTAGTGTGAAGTATTTCCCTCTCTGCGCTGCGGAGCGTCACCCGAGATGGCCGAGCCACCGTCCGACGCGTTTAGAGTGTAGTAGTGGACATGCACTGCAGCAAGCACGAGGCGGACAGCGTTCCACTTTGCGTCCACAGCCTGTTCTGGAAAGTGGTTTCGGACGAGCGCAGTCCATTCCATGACAGCGCCGCCGATGCCGACACAGTGGCCGAAGAACATATTGAGGCGGGAGTAGGATTGGGAGCCATAGAAAACGATAAAGAAGGTGAGCAAGCCCGTCACCGTCCCCACCGCCGAGAAGGAAAGGCGCGGCAGCGGAAGCTGCCCCTCATGCATAGCAATTAGCACGACGTGCGAGAGCACGAGCGTGTAGAAGATGGGAGAGGAGAAGACCATCGGCAGCATTGTACCGCGCAGCGTCATTAGCGTGCGGAACGTTCCGAGCGCTTGTGCATCGTATACGATTGTCATTTCCTGCTCGTTGGCGCTGCGGAGATGGGCGGCCACAGCCAGACAAACCGTCCGATTTTACCGGCACCCCGACCGGGGAACCGGACCGGGTGTGTTCTCTAGGCCCCTAAAGGCCCTACGCGCGGCGTGAGAGCTCGGAAGCGAGCTTTGCACGGCGATCGTGCAATGAGTCTACTTCGTACCGCGCCTTGCAAAAAATAGTCCGCCTTGCGTTTGTTTCATAACATCGAGAGATCGATAGAGAGAGCTTAAAATCCCTGTGTGGTGGCGGCGTGCCGTCCTCCCATCCCTCCCTTGGTTGTCTGCTTTATTTTTTCTTTTTTCGAGAGAGATTTTTGAAAACATCGAAGGCTAAGCTCAAAAATAGTTTTTCAAATTTGCCTTGCGACGCAATGTGTTCGCCTCCCCCAGCCTCTTCTGTCTGCCACCTCCTTTGGCGCCTTTCAGTATCACCTCCGGGTCTGCCTGCAAGAGAGAGCCAACAAGAAAACATATGTGGACGTGCATGAGGGGAGTGTGTGTGTGTGTGTCTAGTCTCTCTCTCATGTCTGTGTCTGTACGTACCCGGGTATGTGGGTCCCCCTGCGGAGCCCTCCCTTGCTTCGCTTTCGGCCCCGCCCGCCACTTCCATCCCGAATCGTCAGGCAGGGACGCGCGAACGTACGCGCGTGTATATGCCCTCTCCGTCTGTCGCACCTGCGCGTGGCGCGCAGCGACGTGCTGTGTGTTGCGGCTTCTACCGAACTGCATGGAATGCGAGAGCGAATACGACGGGCCGACCAAATACTCCTGCTGGGGGGCCAATCCCCACTGCATCCCCTGCTGCAGCTCTTGCAAAACGACAAAGCACGAAGTAATCTCGGCTGCCTTCACAAGACTGAACTCTGAATGCGGCGTATCTGAATGCGGCGTTTCTGGAAGACTCCACTAGAAGTGGCGGGGGCCAGGACCGAAGGCGCCGCCTCGCGTTCTCACATCATTGGGGGTAGGCGGACACTGCTTACTCGCGCGGCGTCGCGTGTGTTACTGTAAAAGAAGAATCTCACGTAGCTCCTACGCGGTCTTGCAGCAAGTGTTCGAGGATGCTGTGAATTTACTACGATGGTGGGCTCTGCAGCGACACGGCGGCTTGCGGAAATACGGTGGTGGGGGGGGGCTGCTTTTGGCTCTCGGCGCGCTAGTTACACTACTCGCTCTCGCGGCTGGCGGCGCAAGCGGCACCACAGGCCCTCTCGGAGCAGATGCGGCGGGCAGTAGTAGTAAGCGACTTTTCGAAAAGAAGCACGGCGCCCCGACCTGCATGCGTAACTGTGATCTGTGTATCCCGCCCCGGTGTCCCGCCGTGTAGAGCTGTCAAACGTTAAGAGCTGAACACAGTGTTGCTAGTGTTAACAGTAACAACAGAACAACAGTTGGGCTCCCCAACAACAGTAGCTAACGTTAGGCCAGCTGAACAACAATAAGGAAGGCCTACCAGTGACCCTGCACGACGATCTCCCAGGTCCCAGCGTCTCCAGTGCGGGTAATACCCGGAAATACCTGGAAACCCCGGGTTTTTCGGGGTTTACCCGGGTTTTTTGGCATTTCTGCTTGCTGACCACTGAACAACAGTAACAACAGTAACAAACAGTAGCAGCTTGGGCTGGGGAGAACACTTGAACAACGTTGAGGATTTCAGCCAACAATAGTGCAACTGTTAGGCCCAAAGTTAACGTGTGACAGCTCTACCGCCGTGTCCCGCTGTATCCCGCGATGGCTCACACCCCAAATTCCCCCGGCCGCCGCGGCGCCGTCCGGGCGTCCGTGTTCTTGAGAGACCTAACTGATTTTGCCTGTCGGCGGCCTCGCGAGACGCGGCCCGCACTGCTCTTTCCTCTTACCTTAAGGTACAGTCTTACTCGCGAGTCGTTCAACACTTTCAATCAACTTGTTGCGCCACTCGCTAATTCTGCATCCGCAATTGACTGGCAATCTACACACGTTTGATCGATTTGTTTGGTATTGGTCCCCAGCTCCCGCCGATCTCTCGCTAACGAATCTTGTCCCGCAGCTCCCGCCGACCTGTATGTAACCTCTCTTTCTTCGAGGTATAAAAACGTAAGAGCCACATACACTGGAGAGAAAGCTCGCTTCCAAGCTCTCACGCCGCGCGTAGGGCCCTTTAGGGGCCTAGAGAACACAACCCTCTCCCTTGTCTCCCAGTAAGCTAAAAGTACGTACACTGGAAAATCTTGGCTAGGGATCTGTTCCCGAGAGTGAACCAGCCGCGAGAATGCCTAGCCTAGGCGTGGAGGCCCGCGGCTCCTCGGAAACTCCGACCTTCGCCCGCGTGCCTTGCTTCCTGACGCGAGGACCCTGCTGGCTCCTCCGCTTGTGGGCCTGCAGCCCTCTGGTTTCTGTTCCATGGGCAAGCTGCGAGACTGGCTTCATGGCGACGGCGACCGCCCGCGCTGGTCGATGCTGCAGTACGCCGTCGCCGCGTGCGCCGAAGACTTACAGGACGAGCTTCAAGACGAGTCGAACGATTGGGCGTCAGACAAGTTCACGGGGTACGAATCAGAGGACGAGTTCGACTCGTGCAGCGAGTGGGACGACGGCGAGGCCGTCGACCGCGCCAAGGAGTGGCTGGGCTGGTCGCCGATCGATCGCGAGGCAGACGGGTACGGTCACGAGGACCAGAGGGAGGACAACGTGCCATTGGACGATTCTACCTGGGGCGAATGCAGCGAGGGCCGCCTCGCCGACGACCGTCGGCTGCAAGACATGGTCGACGCCACACCGGCCGTCGTGATCAGATGCGCATGGGAGGCAGATGGCCGAGTTGGGAACAGCAAGCACGGGATTCTCAGACGAAGATGTTTTCAACGAGGGATACGACCTCGGCCGCGTCGAGGGCTATGCCACCGGGTGGCGGGCGCGGGCGAGCGGCCAGGCGCCCAAGCTCCCGGAACCGGCACCGGCAGTGACGACGTGCGAGGCCTACGAAGCGTACCCCGTGAGCTACCCGGGCCACCGGAAGGGACTGCAAGAGGAGCTCTGGGACGAGTGGAAGACAAACCAAGACAGCGCCGCACAGGGGGCAGGCCCGAGCGGGGCGCAAGAGGTGGGCCGCAGCGAGCGGCAGGCCAAGCGCCAGTGCCGCTTCTTCAAGCAGGGAAAGTGCCGGAACGGCGACGCCTGCCAGTTCCAGCACTCCTAGAGACGGGACACCAGTTCACGACGAGACAGTCATGACAGCGGGGCAGCGCGCCACGGCGGCAAGGCGCCGAGACCGGGCAGACAAGGACAAGAGCTGAGCGGCAGACCATCCGGAAACTACACCCCGGTTCGCATGCCGTGAGTGAGAGGGTGTCAGGAGTACCAGTGTTCGGCTGGATAAGAATGGTATTCGACGACGCACCTGACAGCGCGAGAGCTCCCCGCGGGAGAGGTATGCACAAACCAGATCCCACTATGTTATATCATAGGATTGGCTCCTCACCCCGCCACGCCTTCGTGCAGACGCCGTGGCACCCACCTCAGGCGCCGCTCGGACTCGGTCGACGGCCGCCCAAATGCCTGGCTCGTGCCAAGCCGACCGGCAGGCGATGCCCACTCACTGCTAGGCTAATCTCGGGCTTTCAAGCGGCGGTGTGGTGCCGTGAAGGGCACCGGGACCAAAACTACGACCATTAGTACCGTGCGGGGGCAGTGCATTAACTCTGTCAAAAATCCAAATCTGCTCCGTGGAACTTATTGGGCTAGGATCATACGTCCGGGAGGCCCCCCTTGCGTGCCGCAACGACCCACAGTGCTGGTACCACTCTGTTCACGTTCACAGGTCGTATCAGGACCATAACTGCGATACTCCGAGGTACCTAGCTCTGCCCGACGTCAATGTTCGGCGCCGGGGCCCTCTAGGGCCCGGAATGATGAGATCAAGCAGGATGGTACGATGCCATGCCATGCGCCGCATAATCTCACGGGCGTATTCAGGCGTGCGTGTCGCCCGCTTTGCATGTGCGGAGCGGGGTGAAGTCTGCTGGGGCGTGTTGCCTGAGGGCGCGAATGCTGCGGAGATGGGAATGAGCCTCCAGGTTGCAGCGCCCGAGGCGGTGGCGCACGGCCGGCTGGAGCCTGCTGGTACGCGGACAGTGCAGAAGACCTTGGTGCCTCTGCCGCAGCAGGTCCCGCCCGCTGTCGTTGCGGTCGGCCTCAACTACCGCGCCCACGCGGCGGAGGTGGGCAAGGAGGCCCCAAGATTCCCTATCATTCTGCACGTGAATCCTGCGAGTGTCTGCGGTGGCGGTCCTGCTCACCCCATCGTGTGCCCGCCCATCGTGAGCCGCGATCCTCCGGAGCTGGACTATGAGGCGGAGCCTCCACCTTGCACGGTACACGCGGACACGTGTCCATGACGTGTCCGAGACGCACTGTCCCATAGGCCGAGCTAACCCTGGTGATTGGCCGCCCCTGCAAGGACGTCGCGCCCGCCGAGGCGCTTTCTTTTCTGTGCGGGCTGACTGTGAGTAACGACGTCTCTGCGCGCCGTTGGCAAGGCAGAAAGGGTGGGGGGCAGTGGAGCCGCGCGAAGAGCTTTGACAGCTTTAAGCCAGTCGGGCCGGCGCTACTGCTGGCGGCCGAGGGCGGCGCGGCAAAACGCTCGTTTTCAATCAGCTCGCGCGTGAACGGAGTGACCATGCAGGACTCGTCGACCTCAGACCTCATCTTTGGCGCCGCCGAGTTGATCTCGTTTTGCTCACAGGGGACGACCCTCCTCCCGGGCACAATCATCCTAACGGGGACGCCAGCCGGGGTCGGATACTCACGCTCGCCGCCCGTGTGGCTCAAGCATGGCGACGAGGTGGAGTGCACGGTGGAGGGGATCGGCACGCTGCGCAATTCGGTCGTGTACTTGTGACATGCACATGCGTTTGAGTCTCGGCGAGTCCACATGCGCTGCCTTTTATCTCAACTCCAAGACACAGAGAGCCGCCACCATAGTCTGAGGCCTGGCGTGTGCAACATGTGATCGCTCGTGTGTGTCAATGACGCTGCCTTTTATCTCACCTCCAAGACACAGAGAGCCGCCACCATAGTCTGAGGCCTGAGGGTTAGGTTTCTGGAGCCTCGGGTGCTTTTTGTTTTACGGCTCTAGCTTTTACGCTTTTGATCGGGTGTCAGGGGAGAGTGCGACTTTTACCATTTTTTGCCCCGGGCGGGCCCACTTTTGTCGTCGTGTTTTGCCCCAAATCTACGCGGCCGGCCGTGCTTTAGCGTTTTGGTTTTGACCCAAATCGGCCGAACTTTTAGGATACCCTCAGACTATGGCCGCCACGCAGGCATACAGGGCCGACCTGCCCTGGGAGGAACTAGATCCTCATGACGCGACCCTCAGGGTAACCGCCCCACGAGAAGCGCAACCACTCTCGCCACGGCGAGTCCCGCCTAGAGGCACGGGAGCTGCGAGCTGGCCGCGCCTCTGCCGCGTCCAAGACGCTCCAGCTCCCGTCGGCGGGCGCGACCTCCTCGTGGTCGCCGATGATCCGGGTGTCAGAGCGGGGTGTCTTCAAGACCGGGGACCTGGGAGTGCCCTCAGGGTCGCTGCTACTTCCATCTGTGCGTGGCGTCTTGAGGCGAGACTTGAAGCGAGAAGGCGTGCCCTCGCCGCTAGCCGAGCCCGGTGTGTGCGGTGACGCCGCCTCGATGTGATGGTTGTTGGTTAGAGGATGCCAGCGTCGCCTGCGCCGGTGAAGGTAGCAAACGATGCAGCAGCACAGGAGCAAGATGATCAGGCATGTCACAATCAGTGCAGTCTGCCACACCTCAAGGCCGCTCAAGCGTTTGTCGCGCCTTTCCGGATTTTGGCCTGGCCCATCAGGATCGCCATTCTGGTCGATGAGCGAGGGTGGGCTGCTTGGGGGCGGCAAGGACCGCGGTGTCTTGAGGTGCGTCGAGTCGGGAGGTCCCTTTGTCCCTTCGGAGAGTCGACGGCTCGACGGCGCGAGCGTGCAGCTCGTCCCGCGAAAGAGGGTGCAGAGAGCACCGCGCACCTCGAAGCCGCACGTCGTGTCGTCCTTGGTCGAGGCGTCGCAACATTTGCCGTCGTTGGCCACCAGGCTAGAGTCTGTGTGTAACCCGCGATGGTTTCGCCTGACGCCGCCGCCGTGCGCACCCCGACGCGCGGGACTCATCCCCCGCGTCCACCAACCCGCAGGCACGCATCGCTTCCCCGACTCTTATCAGCACCTCAAGGTTACGGGCATGCCGTTCGCCATCATCAGCAACATCAAGAGCGTAGCTCCACTCGCTCGTTTCTCGACGACCCGAATGAGCGCCTGGACGACTGCATGCGCTACTCCGCTGCTCTGCGACCCAGCCCCGCTGCGCTTGCCACGATTGACGCCGTGATGAGCAGGGAGAACGCACTCGTGCCACGGCTCATCAACTGGGCGGAGGAGAGCACCAGCAACGCGCGGCTGGTGCTGAAGTGGCCGGGCGCCACCAGCTCGGTGCGAGCTTTCACCGTCGAGCCGGCGACGAGCGTGCGTCAGCCGCGCACCATCTTCTTCACGCGGCGCGACGAGGACGAGCCGTGCTACGTGGATTCGTTCGACCCGATGTACGCGGCGCTCATGTGGCCGCTCGTCTGCCCAGACGGCGCTCCGCCGCGGCTAAAGGGGCTCGTCGATTCGGCGGGAACAGTACTGCGGCCAGCCGGTGCGCTCCTCGACAAAGAGGCGAAGAATATCAGACAGGAGACTCTCGCGCTGATGCTACAGCCGGAGCGCACTTCCCGAGGAGTGTGGAGAGGCATTGCCTCTCGTCCGCGCCGCCGCGGGACTCACGTGCGGACCGCCGCGAAGCGAGTTCTTTGACTAATATCACATGTTGGGAGACTGATGGGTCAAAAGCATAGATCGTCAATCGACGCGTCGCGCCGTTGCCGATCCGCACACCGAGGCTCTTGGGTGGCGCGCCCCAGCTCTTCACAAGGCGAACCTGGTTATGCCGACTCCCGCGGGTATTCACGCTGGCATATCGGAGCTGAGACATCCCACGTCGGAGGCCGCACCGGTCACAGGCAAGCTCACGGTCCAAAGAGTCGTTCGCACCTGCCGCGCGCCGGGCCGCATGCAGGAGCCCGCAGGACCACTGAGTGTCGGCGAGTCGGCGCCGGCTGCGACGGCGCCGACGGAAGCTGTCGGTGCTGTGAGGCCCGAGCCGGCATCTGAGTTGGCATCTGATCCGCCGTCATCTGATCCGGCGCCGGAGCCAGAGGGCGCGTCTGCTGATGCACCGACCGACGGAGAGGCGCAGGCAGTGGAGCTGAGCGAGGCGCAGGCGATGGAGGTGATCGCTGCAGTGGAGGCGGTGCGCGCCGGCGGCGCCACCGCGGAGACCGAGCTGCACGGGTGGCACATCGGCTTCTCAGTGCGCGCGGTGGCGAAGGGAAAGGCAGAGGCCTCACCGCAGCTGCGCTCCCGATCGCTCTCTCCTCCCCGCTGCCTCTTCCTCCCTGCTGCCACTGCGTCCCTCACCGGCGCGTCCCTCCCCGCCAAAGGCGGCAGCGCGCGGCGCCCCTCGCGGCGACCTGGTCGTGGTCGATCCTCGCGACGGCTCCAAGCTGCATTCGGTCGTCTCTCTCAAGCGGCGGCTCAGCTTGCTTCCGCCTGCAGAGGCGCCGCCCTCGCCCGAGCCGGAGCCGGAGCCGGAGGAGGAGGAGGAGCTGGGCTTGGGCGGCCGGCCTCGCCGCAGGGCGGCGCAGAACGTCCACCGCGCAGAGCCGGCGGCGCTTTGTGCTGGGCACGGCGTAGATTCACTGCCGGCGCTGCGAGTAGGTCAGCTATGCCGAGGCTGCCCTCACTGCTCCCAAGCCGAGCGACATCGTCGTTGCGAGGCTGGCGGCGGCGGAGCGGGAGGAGCAGGCTGGCAGCGCCGGCGGCGGCGGGGAGTGCCGCGGCGTGGTCTGGGTTGCCGAGGCGATCGCGGGCGAGTACAACGATTTTCACGCCAAGGCGCCGCCGCCCAAGCGGGCGAAGACAGGCGGCGGCGGCAAGCGGGGCGCGGCGGAGGAGGAGCTGGTGCCTGTGGTGGCGACGCGCGCCGCGCTGTCGAGCCTGCTGCGGCAGGGCCGCGTGCGCCGCTGGCTGGTTTCGCCGGCGAGCGGCTGCCTGGCGCCCCCCTCGACGATTGAAGGCGCGCTCGGGCGGCTGCTGCTGCAGACGCTGCAAGCCGATGAGCCGGCCGGCGGCGCCGAGGGCAGCGATGCTCCGCCATGGCGCCTCGCATTGCGGCCGGTCGGCCCCGCGCCGCGCACCCAGACTGGGGAAGGGTGCAGCGATGGCGGCGGCGGCGATGGCGGCGGCGGCGGTGAGGGCGGCGGCGACGGCGGCGACGGCGGCAGCGGCGACGGCGACGGCGACGGCGACGGCTAGGGCGAGGGCTAGGGCGGCGGCGGGAGCGGCGAGGGCGGGAGCGACAAAGGCGGCGGTGAGGGCGGGAGCGGCGAGGGCGGCGGCGAGGAGGGGCGCGCCGAGGAGGGCGGCGGCGGCGAGGCGTCGGAGGGTGGGGGCAGCGCTGCACCGAAGGTGAGGTGGTGGTCGGCATTGGTCTGTGAACGGCGCCTCCTCAGGCGTGGTGGTGTGAACAGGTGGTGCTCAAGCTGGCGGGATTCGAGGCGTGGGCAGAGGCGCAAGCAGCCAAGTCGGCGCGGGGGGGTGCGCGCGCGAGCGCCCGCAGCGGCCGGGCGGCGGCTGCGAGGGCGAACGCTGCGAATGCACGCTCGGGTGAGGGGTCGGGCTCGGAGGTTGACGCCACTAGCGACGCTAGCGACGGCGGCGACATGGACTACGAGGAGGAGGACGACGACGACGAGGACGACGACGAGGACGAGACGTGGAGGGAAGAGCGGCCGCGGAAGCATGGCGGCGGCAGCAGGAGCCTCGGCGGCGTGGCGATGGAGCCGCTCGTGTCGGTGGACGCGCTCAAGGGAATGCTGCCGGTCGCGCCCTTCGACGCGTCCGCCTTCGCCGCGCCGCCCGGCTGGCGCGAGGTGGCCTCCCGCATTCCCCATCGCCAAGCTCACTACCGCCGTCACCGTCCTCATCGCCGTCACCGTCTTCACCGCCGTCACTGCTGACGCCCCTGCCAGGTCCTCGTCGAGACGGGGCGCCGGCCGCGGCCGCGCTGGGTGTGGCACGGGCCGAATGGGGAGGAGATGCACTCCTTTGACCGGCGGGGCGACCTCGAGGAGGCACTCGAGCGCGGCGAGGTCCCGTGGGGCGAGGCGGCGGCCGGCGAGGCGGCGGCCAGCGAGGCGACGGCCAGCGGCGCGGGCGGCGCGGACAATGGCGAGGGGGTAAGGCGGGTTCCTTCGGTCGGGGGCGGCGAGGGGGGCGGTGCAGACGGCGGGCCGTGGCTCGGCCAGCTCTCGGGCGGAGAGTGGCAGATCCGCAGCCGCGCAGCGACGCGGGCCATCAGCCACGTGGTCGGCCAGCTGCGAGGGCTCGGCTTGGTCTCGGTGGTGCCTCCGCACGCGTCGGTGCCGCGCTCGCTTGACGCGTCAACTCGCGTCACGCGGGGGCTTTGAGTGCGACCTCGTTGTGCCATAGGGCCGCTCGACCGAGCTGGTCGTCATCAACAACCACTACGCCACTGGCGAGCCGTTCGCTGTCGCGCGGCGCGCCGCGGGCGGGAGAGAAGCCTTGGGGTGATAAGGAGTGCTTGCGAGCGCATACCGGGACTGTGATAGGCGCGAGGAGGAGCGCGAGAAGCGTTCGCGGCAGCGGAAGGAGCCCGAGGAGGAGGAGGAAGACCTCGCCGACATTGAGAAGGAGCGGCTGCGCAACATCGCCCGCAATCAAGAGCTCCTGCGGCAGCTCGGTCTGGCGTGACCTTGGATTTCTCGTGGCATGGCGGGCAGAGTACAACGCTTCGGTTTGGCCAGCTCACAGGTGAGTTACGCGTCGAGAAGCGGTAAACGAGCGATGGAGAGGTTGCAGGTTGGGGCAGGGTGTTTTCGTACGTCAACGTGTTCTCGCACGCGCGGCATCTGGTGTTGCCGACAGAGAGTGGTGCACGCATTCGTAACCGGGGTGCCCCGGGGAGGTGGGGTGCGCGTGCGACTTCTAGCCAAAAGTCCAACTTTTGCCCCCACGGACGGACCCACGGAGCACGGTTATAGAGCATTCATAGCATATCGATTTTGCATGTTGGTCTCAAGTCTCATCCACTTTCGTGAGAAGATATCTAGAGTAATGCAATACACGTAAATGATATTGATAAAGCGACACAGAGGTCAGAGCACAGTCCACACAGAGGAGGCCCAAGGAGGGCAGCGTACGGCTCTACTTTAGGCCGTAGCCCCGCGTAGCGCGTCTAGGCGTGGCAGCTGAGGCCGGCAGCGGGAGGCCAGAGCCGCGGCCCGCGCACACCTCGGCTGATCGGGGTACAGCTACGGGATAGGACTCCCAGCGTGCAGTCCCATCACGCACGGGCCACGGCTCCACCTCCACAGACTAGCATCTAGCTGCGCGCACTCGCAAAGAAGTTGATGCCGCTCACTGCGGGGCCTCGACATCACTCCAGATTACCATGGAGCTTCTTCCCAAAGAACTGTGCACGCTTGTTGTGAAGTTTGAACAGCTCGACGGTCAGCAGGGGTACGCTACGGAGGCAGGCATGCGCCACACTGCGCGGGGAATTCGCTTGCCACCGTTGCGCATGAGTCCTCTTCGCTTTGCTCGTAGATCGATTCAACAAAGGAGATACGGCTGCCACAGGAATAACCGTCCGCAAGAGTTGTCAGAACGGCTTGGGTGCACGTTTCGGTTTTGCAGCGACACGCGTCGCCTGAGCAGGGCGGGCACTCAATTTCGGCGAACGCGCCAAAGCCACAAAATCGACAAAGGGGTTTGCCTCCGGCACCGCATCCCAATCCGCCCACCACACAGGTCAGGTCCAAGAAGCACGTCTGCGTGGAGTCCCCGGTGCAGATCCCTGCCTTGCATACGGTTAGCGGTGGTGGTGGCGGCGACGACGACAGAGGCGGTGGAGGTGATAGTGCTGGTGGCGGTGGTGAAGAGAAGCTCGGCGGCGGCAGCGGCGAGACCGTCGCCACGGTCCCGCTTGTGGGTACAGTCTCAGGCGGCGACGGCGGCGGCGGCGGTGACGGTAAGCACTGAGATGCGTCGCATGGGGTGTAGTCCTCATCAATAAAGCCGTCACACATTCCGTCCGCGAAGCGGCAGCCGCGTCCCCCGCCGAGGGTGTCGTAGTACTTGAAGCAGTCGGATTCCGGCAGGCCCCTGGATTGCAGCCACGCGGTCAACATCCAGCAGTCATCGCCGGAGCCCGACGCTGGCTCCAGGCAGCGGCAGGATGGCGGAGACGAGGGCTGTGGAGGGGGAGGCGGCGGTAGTGGAGGGGGAAGAGGCGGCGGCGGCGACGGCGGCGGCGGCGGTGACGGTACGCACTGAGATGCGTCGCATGGAGTGTACTCCTCATCAATAAAGCCGTCACACATTCCGTCTGCGAAGCGGCAGCCGCGTCCGCCGCCGAGGGTGTCGTAGTACTTGAAGCAGTCGGATTCCGGCAGGCCCCTGGATTGCAGCCACGCGGTCAACATCCAGCAGTCATCGCCGGAGCCCGACGCTGGCTCCAGGCAGCGGCAGGAAGACGATGCCGGGGCGTGTGGCGGCATGGCCGGCGGTGACGAGGTGTGCTAGTCGCTACAGTCGGACGGCTCCGGCACGTCTAAAAGAGAGAAAGAAAACAGACAACCCAAACGAGGGATGGGGGAGGAGGACAGGGTCCACACCTGCATGAGCAGGATTTTGGAAGGACAGGGGCACAGGTGGGGCTCTCCTGCTCCTGACAAGGGACACGACAGGCTCGCAGCGCGGTGCACGGTGGAATCCCAACTCCACTGGCGGTCTCATCTCAGTCTAGCGACCTTCCTCCGGCTTCTCATCGGCAGTCTCTCACTACCACGGGCACACTGACACAGGGGTGGCAGGGGCGGCGGCATGAGTCTCCCACATACTATGCGGGCCTCACTAGAGGTGCGGCCTGCGCGTGTCCTCGCCCTTGGGAAGGTCTTGAGGGGGGAGGGAATAAATAAAACGGACACACCAAACAGCAGAAAGAAAGAAAGAAAATAGACAACCCAAGGGAGGGATGGGAGGACGGCACGCCGCCAACACACAGGGATTTTAAGAAGAGGGGTGTGGTGCGCTAGCCGTCGCCCACCCTTGGGCGTCTGCCTCTTCCTATCTCTCTTCGCATCAGTCCCTCTCCGATTCTCGCTGCAACCTTCATGCCACCTCGCGGTCTTCCCACTCTCGTCGTTCTCTCTCTTGTCGCTTCTTCCTCTGTCGCTTCGCTCCCCTCTGCCTCGTTCTGCGACGACGCCGCTGCCTGCCGATCCCTTGCTCTCGCCTCTCGGCGCAACTCTGCCCTCCTCGCAGCATATCCTGGCCCCTCGAGTTTATCGAGCTCTCCTCGAGCAAGGACGAGTCTTCTGACGCCCACCGCTATCATTTGCCGCCCAGTCATATCGTTGCTCAGGTCCACTCTCTTCGGACACTTGCGCCTTCACGGATGATGCCGGCGCTGGGGTCCCCTTCGGGTGCATCGTGACAGCTGACGGCGGGATTTCCACTGGTTCGTCCTCCTCGGAGTCGTCTTCCCCGGCTTCCTCCCGTTCGGCTCTACGTTCAGCGTGGCTCACCCTCCATGCCGTGAACAGGCGCTTTATCCACCCAATATTCTTCTCTCGTTCCTCTGCCCGTGCCTTGGTCTTGTCGTTGTTTCGCATCCATGTCAGTATGGCGATCGAGGCTGCCTTCCCCACTTACCTGTAGTTCTCTCGTCACCTCTCCCGCGAGCTCCCCTCTCTTTCTTTCGGGTATGGAGTCCGTGGGGCAGCGTGCCAAACAGCAGGAAAGCGGAAAGCTTCACCATTCTTTGTTGCGGCCACGCCTTCTAAAATTCTTTGTTGTGGCATCTACCGAGAACATCGCACCGTATGTTGCTCTCGCCGCCGACCCTGCTGCGCGGAGGCGCGCCCGCCATCGCACCGGCCGCGCGGTCCGCGCTAGCTGCCGCTGGCGGCTCGCTCGCCGCCTTCGTCAGCAGCGGCGGCGCCGCTCCCGCCTCGGCGATCACGAGCGACAGCGGCGCTTCCTCGCTGCTGTTGGCCTCGAGTGCCAAGGACACAGCGAGCATCTTCGACACCGTTCTCAACCTCGGCCTGACCGCCATCTTCCTCGCCCTGCTCGCCACCATCCTGAAATTTGGTGCGAGCTTCCTCGCGCAACCGCCAGCGTCTGCATTCTCACCACCGTCCCTCACACCGCACAGGCTTCGATTTTGTGACCACGGCTGCGAGCGTAGCGCGCCCGGTGGACGAGGCCGTCGCCGATACGTACGGCGAAGAGGCGGCGGGGACAAAGTTGGCGCCCGGCGAGGCACTGTACGACGACACACCCAACCCGAACGCCATGGAGCGGATGGCTACGTTGAAAAAGGCGCGGCACCTACCACGTCCCCACACGCGTCCCTGATGTCCTCCCTGTGAGACTCCGCCGCACGCGTCTGTCAGGGCACGCGAGCCACCTCCTCCGTCCGCGACCCCGAGAAGAAGATTGACTTTACCAAGTCGGAGTCGGGCTTCGACTTTGCGCCCTGGATGCAGGCGAGGCGGCCGGGGCGATCCCGAGTTGCCGCACAGCGTCTAGAGATTTTCGCACAGCTTCCAGAGACTCGACACACAGCTTGCCTGCCAGCCACAGTACCACTCGCGCTGCCTCTCGCCCGTTCCAACTCTCTCTTCTTTCGCCCCCCAGATCGACCAACGGGCGGTGGCGCGCGCCGAGAAAGAGCGCAAGGCGCGCAAGGCGAAGGACAAGAAGAATATGTAGCGCCTCCGGGCGGCGGGGAAGCGGGGAGAGCATATCTGACTTTTGGATTCGCGCGTTTGCGGCCGCGCCGGCGTTCGCCGAGCGAGCGCGAGAGATGAGGGGTGGAACACCCCCCCAGCCCCCACGTGTGTGTGTGTGTAAATAAATAAATACAACGGACATCCCAAGCTAGGGCTGGGTCGAGGACAGACACGTCCCCACCTTTGCAGGATTTTGCAAAAGCGAGGGGGGAGGGCGCATCGCCGCGCGGAGAGGGCTGGGCACAGGGCACAGGGGATCTCTCTCGCATAGGATATGCACTCGGCGGCACGAAGGCAAGGCTGGGCGTCCTATGTGTGTGTGTGTGTTTAGCAAGTTTATACACGTTATAGTGTTTTTTGAGGTGCCGAGTTCGTCGTGCGCTGGTCGTGCGATGCACGGTGACGGCCGCCTTTGCGCGGCAGAGACTGAGATTTTTTTTAAGCCCCTAGTGTGTGCAGCCCGCTCTAGCCAGCGGGATCGGTCACGACTAACGTGTCACATATATTTGTATCCTCGTATTACTTCACCTCGGCGAGCAACTTGTCGAAGGTTGCCACCGCCTCCTTCAGCTTGGCGGACTGCGCCTGGGGGTGCACGGTGGGCAAGAGGTGAGCGGCTATAGCCGTCGGGTGGTGCGGGCAGGGCGGGCCTTCCTCGGCGAGGGCTCGCTGTCTCTCTCCTGCGCACCTTTAGGTCAGCAGTGGGACGGACCTTGCACGCGCCAGGCTCGTCGCGCGGAACGACGCCCTGGGCGCAGTAGCCACTGAACATGCCCGGCATCACGGCTTCCTGAGAGTACGCAAACTCGTCGAGCGAGTAGAGCTGCGCGTCCAGCGCCTTGGTCAGCGGCCGCAGGTCGCGCTTCGTTTCCGCAACCAGGGCGCCAGTGCTCTTGCGGGCGGCGACGATGGCGTTGCGCAGCTTGCCCCAGTCGCCAGCCTCGAGCAGAGCGGGTGCGTCGTTCGCGAGCGAATCTCTGAGCGTCTTCAGCCGCGAAGCAGGCAGTGCCGCCACCCGCTCTGCCTCGCGCTTGTCTGCGACTGCCTTGGCAAACTCGGCCTTGTCGAGCGCTTGCGCCGGCGCAGCAAGAAGTGCGGCGGCGGCAGCAGCGGCGGCGGACTGCTGCAGCGCGGCGCGGCGCAGCATGAACGTCTGCTGCTGCGGCAGGCGCAGTGCGGCCGCCACCCCGAGGAGAAGTAGCGCAGCGAAGAAGCGCGCTGGCATGTTAATTTCGCTGCGCGTTTTTCTCGCGATTCCTTTCCTAGCCCTCTCCCATCACTGAGCTCCCCTGCAGCTCGTCTTCTGATAAATGCAGAGAACGAACGATTTTCTCCTTTCTCCTTGCGTTGATGTCCACCGAGCTGCTGCTCTCGTTCATATTACTCGCACCCGCCGCCCCGAAGTCCGTCGGCGCGCGCGCGCCAGAGCGCACTCCGCTGCCGGCCTCGCAGCCGGTAGCTCCGCTGCCCTCGCGCTCCGCGCTCTGCGGCGCTCTCAAGCAGACGCGAAACCGGCAGTCAATCGCGCGGCTCATCGCCGAACTCGAGCCGCAGTCTCAAAAGGAATACACGATGTGTATCGCCGCCTGGGGCCGCGCCGGTGACTGGCGCCGCGCCGTCGGACTCTTTGACACAATGAGCGATGCCGGCGTCGAGCCGAATCCGTTCAGCGTGAGCGCCGTAGTGTCCGCGTGCGAGAAGGGCGGGCAGCCGGCGCGCGCGCTCGAGATCTTCGAACAGGCGCGCGCCGGCGATCGGTTCGAGAGCAATGTTGTCGTCTTCAACGCTGCGCTCGCCGCTTGCTCGCGGGGCGGCGAGTGGCGGCGCGCTCTCGACCTGCTGGCCGAGATGCAGCGGCAGGGCCTCTCGCCAAACTGCAACTCGTTCAACTCCGCCATCAGCGCGTGCGGCCGCGCAGGCGAGCTGGACACGGCGCTCGAGCTCCTGTCGACAGGCATGCGCGCTGCGGGCGTCGAACCCGACGTCGTGAGTTGGAGCGCCGCCATCGCCGCGTGCCAGCGGCGCGGCGAGTGGCGGCGCGCTCTCGAGCTTCTCGACGGCATGCGCCGACAGGGCGTCGCACCAAACGAGCGGACCTTCGGCGCGTCTTCCCTGGCTGCCCATGGTGCTGCACACGCGAGATGAGCGACGCCCCGGTTGCCATAGGCGCCGCCATCTCGGCTTGCGCAAAGGGAGGCGCGCCGCCGGAGCGTGCGCTGGAGTTGCTCGCGGAGATGCGCTCAAGCGGACTCCGCGTCACACAGGCAGCTACCCGAGATCAACCGAGATCAACCCAAAGATCGACCCGTGTGATCACGACACGCGGCGCAGGTGGCCGTCAGCGCCGCCATCAGCGCGTGCGGCGCCGCGGGGGACTGGAAGGCCGCCCTCTTCCTCCTCGATGAGATCCGCCGCTCCGGTGCCTCCTCCTCTCTCGCTGGGCGGGAGGCTGGGGCGTGACGTGACCGCCACATGATTGCGCCACCGCTACCGCTGCGACAGGCGCACGACCCGACCTCATCTCTTGGAACGCGGCCCTGGCGGCCCTCGACAAGGGGAGGCAGCCGCGGCGGGCGGTGCGCACTGCCCGGCGACGCGGGCGGACATCTGGCGCGGCGAAAAGTGCGAGACGCGTGACGCGGTTTCGTAGGTTGCGATACTCGACGAGATGGCGGCGGCGGGCGTGCAGCCCGACGCCGTCTCGTACAACACCGCGTTGCTTGCGTGCCAGCGCGCTGGCGAGTGGGACTCGGTGCTTGAGCTCTTCGAGAGGGTGCGGCGTGCGGGCGGCAAGGGCGCGCCGAACGCCTTCTCCTTCAACGCAGCTCTCGCCGCATGCGCCGCCACCTCCAGGGCGGCGGAGGCGGTCGCGTTGCTCGGCGAGATGCGGGAGGCGGGCGCGCCCCCCACCCTGCGCTCCTATGCGGCCGTCATCTCGGCGTGCGAGGCCGCCGGGGAGTGGGAGCGGGCGCTCGACATCCTCCGCGAGGCCGAGCGCGCCGGGGTGGCGCCGCAGCTGACTCCGGCGGTCGCCTTGCAAGCCGGCCTCGTGTCGCTGAACGCGCTCGAGTCGAGGCTGCTCAGGGCCTTGGGGCGAAGGACCTGAGCGTACCGTGTGCGTGTGTACGGCCAGCGATTTGTGTGAGTGTTGTCTGTATCTGGTGGGACAACGCCGACCGCCGGAGATAATTTCTTTAATCTATCAACACATCGCATCCTGATGACGCTTTCCGCGATGATGAGCATTCTACTCCTCTTCGTGGTCTCAGGGGCCAACGGCGCCACCCTCGCACGTCCCACCCTCGCACTCACGAGCGCCGAGGCCTGATCGCTCGCCCAACTTCCCCCCACAGGCCTGCACATCGGCGCGCTCAGCGCCTCGCGCCCGCTTGTCAGCGCCTCGCGCGCGCTTGCTGCCCTTCGTGCCCCGCACCCATCCATGGTCGACACAGAGTGGACGATCGCGCTGCAGCGTGTGGCTGCCGCGTGCCTTGAAGAGGAGTGCTCGGTCAACACCGTGGAAGGCCTGATCTCCGAGCTCTCGAGTGAGCCCGCCGCGCACGCACACTCATCCAGACACGTGCAGCGACGGCCAGCTGCCGTGACACTGACCCGGCGGCGCCACCAAGCTGCCGCGCGACCCTGACACCCGACCGGCCTTCCCTCGCCGCAGCCGAGGCCGAGCGGCTCACCAGGGATGGCACCAAGACGTCCAAGGAGCAGGTCGCAACGCTTCTCGCTCTCGGCCGGCTGCAGGTCCCTTCGTTTCTAAGCGTTCCCTGGCCCAACTACTCGCCCTTCCACGCGTACTGTCGGCGCCCGCAGGCCCTCAGCCAAAACCCGGCCGCCAACAAGAACGAGATCGAGAAGATTGTCGCCGGTGTGTGACACTCTGACACCTCTGGTTTAGAAAGGTCTCGGCAGCGAACGTTGGCCCTTCTTGCCGCAGGCATGGCGCGCTCGTTTGGGACGGTCAAGGCGAGTTCCTCACTCGCTGCTCCCCTCCTCGCCTCCCCGCGGTCTCTCTCCCTTTGCTGCCCTCGCGTTGCTGCCCTCACCGCCCCTGTCCTCACTGCCGCTCCCGCCGCCGCAAAGGACTACGACTTCCCCGGCGCGGCGCTCGGCTACACGGGCACGCCGAACAAGAACAAGGTTGGCTTGTGAGCCCGCCCGCTGCGCGGACGGGCACGCGGGCTAACCGCACGTCCTCATGCCGCGGCGGTTTGATGCACGGAGGAAGCGCCGCGAGCAAGGGCTGCTACCCCTTGTGGGGCGGCACGTTTGAGAGTATGGACAATGCGGCTGGAGGTTGTGAGGATCTTGGAATGTCTACTATACACGTGCGCGGGTTATCTTATTATTATCTTATTTATTCGCGAGAGACGAGCAGAGAGTACGCGATAAAAACAGGAAATACAAATCCGCGGACGACTACTGTACTCTCTCTCTCTACTGTATGGGTTGTTGCTCGAGTATATGGGACAAAAGCGTCGAAAATGTCCCAAAAAGCGTGTCTCGAGTTTGTTGCAGCCCCACAGCCGGCGCGCGCTGCCGGGAAGCACCGCTCGCGTGTCGGCGGCACTCCCTGGCACCCAGTGAGTGCCGCGAACAGACCAGACCGATTAGGCTCGACGCCGTGCGCGCTGTGGGGCTGCAACAAACTCGCCGCCGAGCGTGCCACCGAAAGCGTCCCGTCGGAGGTGGTGGAGTTTGAGACCTGAGGCTGCGGAGGTGACGCCTGAGGTACCGGCTCGTGCACGGCGACTCAGCCGGCGACCGCCACGGGCTCAGGCGAGACCTGTCGACGCGTTCCGGCTCAGCTTCACCATGGTCCTCGGGCGTCTGTCGACGTCAGGACCACCCATACAGCTCGAGGGTTTGAGGTCGCAAGAGCCAAGATGGTGGCGTTTGGACATCCCAACCATCCCACAAGACAGCCTGTAGGTGATGGCGGGACGGCGCAGTGTTTGTGGCACTCGGCAGTAGGCACCTGCGGCACGGCCCGCTGTCGGCTCTCGCGGGCTGCGGAACCGGCCCCAGAAGGGGACGGTCCGGGCGAGTGTGGCAGCTCCTGCGCTAGTATGGGCACCCTCTATCACAATACTACTGATCCTGGTCATTAGAGCTGCCAGGGATAGCGTCAGGAGCCGGTAGGAGTCAAAACCCCTCATATTTGAGACATCGTGGCCCATATACTCGTGCAACAACCCGTATACGGTGTGGCTAGTTCCATTTCACAGTGCCACAGCTCGCCCTACTGTGCCGTACGAAAGTCTGTGCAGCTGTGAACAGCAGCTCTGAGCACGGCGCCGCAGGCGCCTGTTGATGGGTCCAGGTGATAGCCCTGGATGGGCAATGCATACGCCTAGTTGGGCCTCAGATCGCCCGACCGCGTCCCGGTGCTCTGTGGTCGGATTTGTGACGCCGCCGCACCGCGCCGCGGCCGGGGGCCCTCCGGAGGCCGAGGATGGCCGTGGCGGACCGGGACGAGCTCTGGGAGGTGAAGTGTCAGTGTATATATTGTAGAGACTAACCATGTGCACAATATTTTTCAGTCTAGCTAAGCCTGGGAAGGCGATGCTGGGGCCGTACAGCAGCTTGATGGTGCTTCGCCGGCGTGCGTCCCGGAGCGGTGCCGGACGGGCGGTCCGTGGGAGGAAAACGAGGGACAGCGCCGACGGCGCTCTGATTCGACTTTTAACTTCAAACAAAGACAGTGGCACGCTCATGTTGACGCCGGGCTCGTGTCCCTCACAACCTGCACAGACTTTAGGCCACAACAGTACACAATCTTGATTTTGCCTTCCAGAGGCAGCCGCGACCCCGCCGAGTGGACGGTTGCACACAGCAGGTGGCGCGGTGTGCAACCGTCCAACTTGGCGGGGTCGCAGCTGCCTCTGCGCGTCCTGGGGAGGTACAAAATTGTCGCCGCCGGAGACGACTCGACGCTGCTGAGATCGGAGATCAAGCCCTGACAGGTCGCACGTCGCTCCTTTGACGCCGACGTGACTCACCCGTGCAGAGCGCATCAGGACACGGTCTCGACGCGCTCGGTATGACGCCTGCGACCCGTCTCGGGTCAGGTGGCACGACGCTCATCGCGCCTGCCAGCGCTGCCGTGCAGGTTGCCACGACAGGGTCGAGCACGCTTCTATACGCTCGCCCAGCCTTCCTTTCCATCCCATTAGGCAGCCTGGGAACGGTGGCGAGCAGAGGCAAAGCCTACGAGGGGTGGTGGAACCACATGTCGCGGCTACTGCGAGCCGGCTCGACCCCACGATAGCCTCGGAAGGCTGACTTTGAGGCACCACCATCGGACGATGTGGACGAGTTGGGTCGCTCTCGCGGTAGTCAGACAACCTCTCATACTAGGATAATCGACCATGGCCGCAGGGAGCGCGGGGGATGGCGCAGGGAGCAACACGGAGCTCCGTTGGATGTTTTCAAGATTAGCGTGTCAGAGTGAATTGGAACTAGCCTGTCAACCGTACTAAGTCTGGCCACACAAAGAACCCTGCACAAAGATATTTATTTATTTAAAGTCTGGCCAGGTTGTCGGGGACACGATCCCGGCGTGAACACTCAACTAACTGACGGATCCGCTCCTGACGCGCTGCGGCGCGTGCCACTGTCTTTGTTTGAAGTTAAAAGTCGAATCAGAGCGCCCTTGCCCTTTGCCCCTTTTGGCCGGGGCCCTGAATCATCTTTGGCCCCCCCTTGCCGCTTGCGGTCAAGTCCCAGGGCACAAGACCCCCGTCTTCACAAGACGACGGTGCAACGCGCTCACACGAGATCACTGAAAAATCACACAATCAACCCCTCGATGCATTCACTATTTGCATACCTTAAGGTTCTCCGGGCCAGTTGGGGGGGGCAAACCCTGCCCGGCCCCTAGGACCCCAGGTAAGGCCCAGGTGTGGCCTAGGGCATCAGAAGGGACCAAGAGGAGTCCAGTCTGAGCCATAGAGCCCATGTCTTTGCCCCCGAAGGTCGCGATATCTCCTTCTCCCTTTTCGACGAGTAACAATCTTACGCAACGAATGGAGATGCCTACGGAATCAGAGCTCTTCCAGAGACACGTACATCTTATGATTGGGACAACATAGTCACCAGCACCTAGATCAGATGCTGTCAGCCTCTTTCCATCGAGTCTAATGACATCAACATTCTTTTTCATTTTTAGACGAGCCAAGTTATCCTTCAGCAAGCATTTAAAGGGGAGATCCACCTTAAACGTTTCCTTGCACGCTTTCGAGGCCATCTCTTCTAATTTTTCGAAAAACGTCACTTGCTGCGCAAAGCACAAATCAATAGTAATCGAGAGATCGTCAGACGGAGTGACGTCTTCCATACTTTTAGAATAAGGAGGCTGTATTCTTTGAATAAGCATTGGTTCCTTAGTAGTGGCTACCTGTGTTGTATTTTTCGGAATATTAGCTATTACCACTGTGTCATTAAGAGCTGATAGACGTTCAACATTTAGATTGGGCAACGAGAACATTTTTGTAAACTTTTTTTCCTTTTTATTCTTTGGAAAAATAAAAAAAAATATCGTCATAAAAATTCGATTCACTTTAAAAGATCTCTGTCGTGATCAACCTTGACTCCTTTCTGTTGCTTAGCGAGCCAAGCATACATTCGGGCCCAACCCCATTGAGAAGGAGACAACTTTTTCAAATGCCCGGAACGCGGGACGTTACAGTGGTGTCCGGCCGGCGCGATCACCGAGCTGTGACGCTCAGGGAAGCCCGATGAGGTACTGGTTTCTTTGCCCAGGCCTGGCCTACGACCCATGCTGGATCAGCTGAGCAAGGTTTGGGGAGAATCCTATAGTAGGATCTTCAGATATTTTGACGGATGACCGAAATCACCCCGTTTTTGCCCATTTTTGGTGCATGTGCATGCACACCCATCTGCATCTCGCCTCATGTTCATGTGTCATGTAACATGAGTCATGAGGAGTCGACGACCTACCGACCTTCCTTTTATTTATTCGAAAACGGACAAAACATCACTCATGATACGTCCGTTGCGTCACGAGACGTCAGCGTGAAACGAGGTCTGGATTTACTCTCCCCTTTTAGAGTGCTCTCAAGTTTTGTATATGATATAATTTGATATCTCGCCGTGTGTCTCGTTGTTACGGGGACCTGTTTTCCTTTTTACCCATCTCAAGTAGAATAAATAAATCAATAAAACGGTCAAACTCTGAGACGAGATGGGATTTAGGGACATGTACATGTACATGTTGTGTCCCCGCCACGTGTGAGGTGAGGGATCTTCAATCCGTGTCCCCTCACCCCTCGTCACAACCCGACACGGAAAAAAAATTGCTTTCGAAGAAAAACGAGCACGCATATTCTCCCCCCTCCATTCTCTCCCCCTTGGCGTGGCGCGCCTCTCCCCCAGCTCTCGGTATCGCGTACTGCACGAGGCTACCGTGGGCCCCGCCTGCGCGCTGGGGGTTCCCTTCCCTGTCGGGAAGCCTAGCTCTGAACCTGGGGTCGCTACCTAATGCGGGGCGAATGAGTGATGAAGTTAGTGCCTTGGTGTGCCCGTTCCCCGTTATGGCTTCCCCTGGTCTCGCGACCATGAATGAGAGCTCTCACTCCCAGGGTACTCCCGCGTATCTGGCTCCCTTATCCCCCCCCTCTTCCCCCCCCTTTCTCTCTCCGAGATGACCCGTGCTCTACGTGCCTAGGTTTGGTCTTCGGGGAGGGGGGATTGTCGGTGTGTCCTCGCGAATTTTTCTCGCTGGACGCCCAACAGCTTCGATTTCCCTCCTTAGCGCCCCGGGTAGAGCGTGGTCTCCCCTGGAGCCTGCCACGCCCGTTCTGTCTAAGCCCAGGGTTCAGCTTTCCAGTTGATCCTTATCGGACTGGTGAGTTCCTTCTCGCTGCCAGTGTGACGCCCCGGCAAACATTGGCAGCGGTGCTACACACACTACGCCATCTTTCGTTTGGGTTTTAGGAGTGTTTTTTGTTAACAATTTTTACGGGCTAGCCTGGATTCGTTTTCTCCAAAGGAGTGTTTTGTTTTGACAAGATTTTATGGGCTAGAGCTATCTCGCAGTACATGCGCACGAGCTTAGCGTCTTGTTGCACTATGCACATAGCGGTTTAACAGGAAAGAAATTTTCGCGATCGTGTTTTTCTTTTTATGCTTATGGCAGGGGTGAGGGGTGAGGGGTGAAGGGTGAGGGGTGAGGAATGAGGGGTGGGGGGTGGGAGGTGAGGGGTGCAACCCGACACGGAAAGAGCGGCAGTAGAGAGAGGTGTCAGGTGTGTCCGAGTCCGTTTTTATTTATTTGTCGTTGTTAAAAAACCTGCGTGGCCGACTACACGGTGAGCCATACGGACCTTGCACAAAACCTTTTCCTTCTAAGCAGGGCTACACAATGACCCTATAGTGTGGGGGTGTTTCTGGCGAGTGGTGATGAGTAGAATTAGATCAGTAACCAGCCTCCGGCGGGGCCCCCCGCTACCATCCAAACCCGAATACAAAGCGCCTCTCCGAGAGCGCTGCGCAGACGGTCTATCTACTAATCATAGAGGCTCAAGTGCGACAAGTCCACACACATAACATGCGACACGGGTGCCTGCCATACACAAAGCATTACTCTCACGACACACGGGCACCGGAGCGGCGGCAGCGGCGGCAGCAGCACACGCGGGCGGACGGATTCGGACGGGGCGGAGCAGCGGCCGCCCCTGGGCGGCCGCTGCTCTGTCTGCCGAGCGCGGTCAGGTGCAGGGAAGCGTGGCGGCGCGGGGAAGCGCGGCGGCGGCGGCGGCGGCGGCGGCGGCAGCGGCACGCGCGGGCGGACGGACTCGGACGGGGCGGAGCAGCGACCGCCCGGGCGGCTGCTGCTCTGTCTGCCAGAGCGCGCCGTCTGCGCAGCGCGGTCAGGTGCAGGGAAGCGTGGCGGCGCGGGGAAGCGCGGCGGCGGTGGCGAGCAGGCGAGCGGCCCGCGCGCGGCGAGGCGGACAGGTGATCGGCAGGCGGGTGATGGGCCGGAGAGTGACCGCGCCCAGCGATCGGAGACGAGCCGATCGTCGCTCGGCCGCAGCTGACCTCGAAGGCGTGCGGAGCGCGACTGTCGGTGTCGGGGGGCGGCCGTCATGTGGCGAGGAGGGAGGACGACAAGTGCGCGTCGTACGGGTCGCTCTTCATCGGCCAGTCGAGCGGCACTCAAGTCGAGACCGAGCATGGGCGACGAAAAGCCGGTGGGGCCGGTGGGAGGTAGGACGAGATTCGTTTCGCGCTTTCAAAAGCGGCTTCGCGCGCAGCGCAACTTTGGGTTTGCCACGAAAAGCGCTTCCAGCTGGAAATGGGGGTAAGTGGGCGGCCAATTCACACCTCGCGGGACTACTTATGTTTTCGTAAACGTAGTTGTGGCCCCCCGCTACGTCGCACGAGTGCAACCGGGTAGCGGGGGGCTATTAGCCAATGGTATTTTGAAGTTCATATGAAAATACCAACTTGCCTATGTGCACGTCTCCGCGGCGGCGGCCCGGAGGCGGCCCGGCGGAGCGGTCAGAGCAGCACTGCGCCGGCCGGCGATCGACTCTCGACTATACCACGGGCTCTATTGAATGGCCTCAAGGTGCTCTCTAGGGCTGCCCTATTCCGCTCGCCCGGCTACGTCGCCGGGCTTCGAAGGAAAAGGTTTCGCTCGGCACGGCGTCGGAGAGCAAACTTCGGCGTTCGTCCTATGTGGAATGCTGGACGCACGTCGGCAAGTGGGCCCATGACAAGGCGGGCTGCTGCTCAGAATCTGGGCCGTCGGCGCTCGCTCTCGCGCTCTTCATAACGACTTTGCCCCCTCCCTCCCGCGCCGTTGGGCAGCCTGACCACGACAACGCCAGTGCGAGCCGCCGGCCTGCAGCTCGAGGCGCCTTTGAATGAGCACGAGCTGGTGCGCGGCGGCGGCGCGGGTGATGCAGCCCAAGGTGACGGCGACGGCGGAGGGGGCGGCGGCGGCGGCGGAGGAGGCGGCAGCGGCGGCGATGGCCGCGGGTTCGGCCCGCCCGCCTTTGCTGCTGGTCCTGGTGCTGTGGGCATCATCACAGCTCAGCGGCGTGTGCGACCAGGGCCAGTGGTTAGACTTTCGACGCGGTGAGGCTGCTCTCTGAGCGATGACACTAGCAGGAGCATCATGTGTGTCATCGGAGTCACTTGTATTACGATACCACCACGCCGCCACGCTCGCAAGGGCCGCCTAAGCGCCTAAGCACCCTAAGCACCCCCGCGCTCAGGCCGCTTAGGCTTAGGCGAGTGACGGCCGGCTGCCCGGGGAATGGCGTGCCTCCGCCGTGGGCTGAGCACCCGGGAGCGAGCCACTCAGCAAGTGGTGTGCGAGCGTGTAGCCTTTAGCGTGCAGTCGGCCCGTCTGCCCGCTTACAGCGGCAAACACCAGCGCGCGGCCTGCAGGAAAGGTGCCACTCCCCCGACCGCGCGCCGCACGCGGATTGCAGCCAGCCGCGAGTCCGTACCCGGCGCAGGGTCGTCCTCTCGGCCCGCCCAATAGCCGACGCCATAGTCAAAGCTCAGCTCGGTGCCTGCTCCAGACGCGCCAACGCTGAGTACGGCCCCAACCCCACCCTGCTTATCTTCTCTCCTGCTCTCTCCTGCTCTCTCGTCTCCTCCTAGCCCGGCGCCCTCTGCGAGGTCCCGCGCAGCAAAGAAATCGACTCCCCGCCCGCCCACGGCCGGCGCGGCGACGAGGCTGCCCGATTCCGCGTGGTTGAGGAAGCGAGAGGCCTATCCGAAGTTCCGCAACAGTTTCCGCGAAGGCTCCTCCGAGAGAAGGCACCTCGGCCGGGCGGTGGTGGCGCGCATGGCAGCTCTCCGTCGCGTCCAGGTACACGTCGCCCAGAGCAAAGAGGTACGAGCTGCCGTGGCGGCGGGAGGCCTCCGCCGCCTGGTCGCGGGTGAGCAGCGCGCCGCGGTAGCTGGTCACGTACTCTCCTGCGGCGGCGGGCCGTGTCGCAAAGGCGCCGAGCCCCCGGCCATCGGTCGTCGGCCTTACCTACTCGACACGTCTTGGACGTGTCATGACGTGTTGCGGACTCGTCGTAGAAACCCGGGAGGTGGAGCGGCTTCACCTCGAGAGCCATCTCGTGCCTGGGCGGTCGCCCGGCGGCGGTGGAGTAGCACGCGTCCATGGTCGGGGGCCGAGACTGCCTGCTGAGTGGTGAAGACGGCGGCGAAGGCGGCGGCGGCGGCGGCGACAACAGCAGATGCTGCAAGCTTCCAGGCATTGGGCAGCGAAGCGTGGCTGTGCCCGCGTCGGCGCTCCACTCTGCTGGCAGGCGTGCGAGCAACTGCTCCGGCCCAAAGGACACCTCTTTCGACTCGTCCAGTGCCATCACGCACGACGGGTCCCCGCCGCCGTCGAGCAAGAGACGCGTGCCCCCGATCACACCGTGCTCACAGTTGTGCGACCAGTTGAGCTGGAGGTAGTCCACGCGGCAGAAAAGGCAACGCGGCGGCGTCCCCGGACCAACCTCGACGTTGTCCACCAACCAAGTGCCGACCTGATAGGCGACGACATCGCCCTCTTCGAGCAACGTGGAGAGATGATGCTGGCCTCGTCCAAAGTCTTCCTGGAGCGCTGCCGCTGCGGGAGCATCAGGCAGGCTCGACATGGATACCGAAGGGCGCACGCAGCGTCCTGCACGCACGTCCGTACGCGGTCCATACACGAGCATCACCAGATCCGCCTGCAGTATCGCCCGTCTCTGCTCGGTGAACTCAACCTCTCACAGACCAGCGCATGGCGGCCGAGCGCCATAAAGGTACGGGAATGCCCGGAGGTATTTTCTTGTCAATAACGAGGCTGTGAACTCTCGCGCGCCGCCGTCAGTGGCGATGCGCAAAACATCAACAACGCTGCTCGCAACATGCGTGTCGCGCACTCATTCATGACCCGTCTCAATGCCCCACCCCCCTGCGCGCGGGCCTTCTAAGCCCGCGGGTAGTCGCCCCCCATCCCCAGGGCCTCCAGGGCTCGCGCACCTCAACCTCTCACAGACCAGCGCACATGCGGACTCGGGCCCGGTGTGCTTCGACGCAGCACAGTGTGCTTCGTGGTAGCATGAACTCAGAACGGCCCCCCGAGAGATCCTCTTCGACGCCCACGGGTCCCGGGGGGTCGGAGGGGTTGCGAGAGGGCCCCGCCGATTTTTTGTTTGAATCCCGGAGGCCGTTCGAACATGAATTGACGTTCCACGTGCCCGTCCCCAGCAAGGACAACATGCTAGCCCAGCAGGCCGCTCCCACGCTCCCACCGCCGCCCGCGGCGGAGGCAAGGCGGCAAAGGGTGGCAAGGGCGGCGGCAAGGGCGGTGGCAAGGGTGGTGGCCGTGGCGCACCAGACCCGCTTTGCGCCGCCGCCCTCGACGCCCGATACTCGGTTGAGCCGGCGGAGCGACGGCGGCAGAGGTGCGGCCGCCGGCGACCTCACACGGTGTCGAGCGCCGTAGAGACGGCCCCGAGAGCCGCCGCCAGGTGTGCCACGACCGCCGCCGCGAGGCTCGTGGCGATGGATGCGCCAGACCCGCTTTGCGCCGCCGCCTCAACGCCCGATACTCGATCAGAGCCGGCGGAGCGACGGCGGCAGAGTTGGCTTGCGGCCGCCGGCGACCTTCCCCTCGACCACGCCGCCGACCCGTCGACAAGCACACGCGGACTGCCATCGAGAAGAAGGAGAAGGAGCGCGGCGCATCCGGAGCCCGCGGGCGCGGCGTGGGCGGGCGCGGGCGCGGGCGGGCGCGCGGGAACCCCGCCAGCGGAGGCGACACAATGCCTCTGGCGGCTCTGCAGGCGGCGCGCGGCGCGCCCCTCGCCGGTCTCCCGCACGCTCCTGAGGGCCGAGAGGGCCGAGAGGCGGGGTTGGTGGCCCGGGGGCATGGGCGGTGCGGCCCGCGCCGCGCGCGGGCGCGTGGCAGCCCGTGAGTGCCGAGATCGGGTCTGTGCTTCGACGTAGCATGGGCCCCCGGAGGCCCATCTACAGCAGCGGCGAAGTGAGCGTGTTTGTGGTGTTGGTGTGACGTCTGAGCTTGGATCTGGGACTAAAGCCGCTTACCACTGATGGATCCCCACCCGAATAACACACAGTGAGCGCCCCAGATCCGCCTGCAGTATGCGCGCGGGCCTTCTAAGCCCGCGGGTAGTCGCCCACCATCCCCAGGGCCTCCAGGGCTCGCACCTCAACCTCTCATCACAGACCAGCGCACAGCGCCATACGAGGTATTTTCTTCTCAATAACAAGGCTGTGAACAGAAATGTACCTTCCTTCGAAAACTCGGGGATGATCGTTAAGGTGATTCACGGGTGTCCGCGGCCCACTGTGCCCGCTGGTACAATGACCGCCGTAAACCCTGTGATCAGCTCCATGCGATCTCCGATATTTTTTGTAGGCACCGGAACGTACCGAAACAAAACTCTCTCTCTCTCTCCGGAACGTTGGGCTCAACCAGGTTTGCCTCTCGCACCCCGTCTGTTTTCCTTTCCTTTTTTCTCTACAGCACCCTCTCTTTTCCTCTCTATTTTCGCGGGAAAACTCCGTGGAAATCGTCAAATTTTTGGCGCTGAGCCGAGTCTGAGGCTGTGGTTTGGGCCCAAAATCAGCCAAATTTTAGGCCAAATCGGCAAAATGCCGGGAATTTCGCGGAGAACGCGTGTATACCTGGAACTTACCCTGCGACCGCCTGGGTATTTTGTCGATTTCCTCAATTTTGCCTCAGATTTTGCCCCAGACCAGCTCTCAGACTCAGGGAAACTCGAGAGTTGCCAGAATGGAGCACCAAACACCCTCTGTCCCTGGAAATTTCCGGAAACGCAAAGTGCTGGGGACCTCTGTTTTCCTTTTTGTTTTCCGGAAAACCTGGTTGAGCCCAACCGGAACGCCAAAAAACTACTATGTCTTCGAGTGAAAAGTAATCCGAGCAAAGCCGCGGCCGCAATGAATTAAAAGGGGCGGTGTCGAGGGGGAATCTGGAGAATCTGGGAATCTGCTCACCCCCACCTCATCGAAAAACTTTTCACTCCAAGACATATAGTACTTTTTTAAGGTGCTCTACAAGCTAGGCACAAAAGATATGGCATTGCAGGTCATTTAGGGCCCCTTAGACGGTCACTGAGTTGTCCAAAATCACCACTGGGCCGGGAGCCACCTTCAAGCGAAACCAATACAAGAAAGAAACCATTAGGTGTGCACAATGGCCGAGCGAGCGGAGAGCATAGCCCAGGGCTACGCCCGCCGGCTTCGTGCCCTGGAGGCGGAGCGGGCGGCGGAGAAGATCGACTCCGAAGCGCAGTTCCATAAGCTCGAGCGCTCCTACACTTCGCTGCGCACGGAGCGGGATGAGCTCGCAGCGACCAACGCGGCGCTCGCACGACAGCAGGCGGGGGCGGGGGCGGCGAGCGACGAGCTCCGCGCTTCGGTCGACTCGCTGCGCCGTGAGCGCCGCTCGCAGGACGAGGAGATCAAGAAGCTGCGCGACGCGGAGAAGGCGCTCGAGGAGGATCGGGCGCGGCTCAATGCGCTCGCGGCGTCAAACAGCGAACACGCGGCGGCGCTCGCGTCGGAGCTAGAGGCGGAGCGGGGGCGGCTGGCGGAGGAGCGGACTGCCGGTCAGGAGCTGCGTGCCAAGCTCGCGGCCAAGCAAACGGAGTGGCTCGACCAGAACATGGCGCTCAACGACCACACCTCGCAGGCGCACATCCCCGCTCTCCCCTCCCTCCCTTTCCCCCCTTTGCCCCCCCCCCCCCCCGCTCACCCTCTCAACCACCCTCGCAACCCCCCCTCTGCAGACCCTCACGCCCCCCATGCACTTGCCCCTCTCTCCCATCTCACTCCCCGCCCCCTCGCTCCCCCGCAGGTCGAGCTGCTGCAGCGGCGCGTGCGCGAGGAGCAGGAGGCGTCGGCAGCGCGCCGCTCTGAGGTGGATGCACAGCGGCGAGCGCGGGAGGAGGAGCTGGCGGCCCTCGCCGACGCGCGCGACGCGCTCGCCCGCGAGAAGCTCGCCCTCTCGACTCGCCTCGACGGCGCCGCAAAGCGCGAGGAGACGCAGGCGAGGCTTGGACCTCCTCAGCCTCCGCCCTCGGCCTCCGCCCTCGCATGGCCGCCCGCCCGCCCGCCACCACCACCCCGCCCACCCACCACCACCACCACCACCACCACCACCACCACCACCACCACCACCACCACCACCACCACCACCACCCCGCCGCGCGACCGCATCTCTGGCCCGCCAACGATGCCCTGCGTGGCGCCCTCCGCCTCCCGGTGCGTGCCAGGCCGCCGAGCTCGAGCGGCTCAAGCTCGAGCTGACCACGCAGATGCAGCGCGCGACACAGGACGGGCTGACGGCGGACCGCAAGCAGCTCGAGACGCAGCGGCTGGCAGGCGCACGCTCTCTCCCTCCTCTCCCTCCCTCCCGTTGTTGGCCGCCTCGCACCTCTTCACCCTCCCTCTCAGCGCGCCCCCCCCCCCCCCTCCCCCTCTCCTCACAGACTCGTACAAGAGCGCCCTGGGCGACTCCGAGGCGGCGCTCGCTGCCGCGCGAGAGGAGCTCCAGGCGGCGCGGGCCGAGACCGCGCGCGAAAGCACGCGCGCGACGGCGGCCGAGGAGGCGGCCGCCGCCGCATCCGCCGCCGCCGCTGCCTCGGCCGCCGCCTCTGGCGGAAACGAGCCGAGGGCGGCGGCGAGCGCCCCGGTCGCGCCGGCGCCCTCGGCGGCGGCGGCGGCGGGCGAGGCGCTGGCAACGTCGCTCGGTCCGCCGGGCGGCGGGTTGGTGCCGCTGGAGGACGCGTCGCAGCTCACGCGCACCGATCTGTATGGCAAGTACGTCGAGGCGGTCGAGGCGGTGGCGGCGGCCGTGCGCGGCAAAGAGGAGGCGGAGGCCGAGCTGACGGCGGTGGTGCGCGAGGTGCAGGCCAAGGCGCCGCGCATTCTCGAGATGCGGCGGCAGTACGAGGAGCTCGTCGCGGCGCACGACGGGCTGTCGACGCGGCTGCACGCCGCGATGGTTGAGGGCGAGGCGGCGGCCGCTCACGCGGCGGCGCTAGAGACCAAGCTTGCCGCGAGCGACAGCGAGATCGGCGCGCTGCGCGCGGAGAACGCCGATTTGTCGCGCCAGCTGCAGCTGGTGCTGCACGAGGCGCAGCGGCGGGCGGCGGCGGAGACGCCACGCCAGCGCAGCGGCGGGACCGCCTATGGCCTCGCGGCGCTGCGCGCGCCGCCGCCCACCCCGGCGTCGGGCGTGCCTCCGCCCCTCTTTGGCATGGGCGGCGCGGGGTCCCCCGCCACGCCGCTCGCCCCTGCCCCGTTTGGCGGCGCGGCCGTCGAGGCGGAGGCGCCGGCGGATTTGGCGACGCCCGGAGGCGTCATTTCAGCGCGGCTGGTTCCCTTCCGGGACGTCGCCGAGATGCAGCAGCGCAACGCAGAGCTGCTGCGCGCGATGCGGCGGCTGGGCGACGCGCACGAGACGGCGCTGCGCGAGAAGGAGCAGGCGGCGAGCACCGCCGTCGCCGCCGCGATGGCGGAGGTTGAGGAGCTCCGCGCAACGGCGGCCAAGCAGCAGCAGGCGCGCCACCGCGCCGCGGGACGCACCGGGACGGCGAGCGTGGCCGCTCACAAGCGTCACGTGAGTGCGGTAGGCGGTCGACGCGTTGATGAAGCAGCGCGAGCTGTACCGCGCGATGCGCCCCTCGGCGGGCGAGGCGGGATCGGCGGCGCCGTCTGTCGCCCCCGACGCCGGCGCTGCCGCCGCCGCGGAGGCGGAAGCCGGCTCTCTGCGCGACGAGCTCGCCGGTGTGCGCGAGCAGGCGGCGGAGACGGAAGCGGCGTTTGCGGCGCAGCTGGCGCGCGCGCAGGAGGCTGAGCGGGTGGCGTTGCAGGCCAAGGCGGCGGCCGAGGCGCGCGCCACCGTGCTCGAGGCGCGTGTGCAGTCGCAGGCTGACGTGCTCGCTAGCGGCGGGCAGGAGGCGGCGGCGGCGCACGAGACGAGCGCGACTCTCTCCTCGCAGCTTCTCGAGCTGCAGCGCGCGCTGCGCGAGCGGGGCGAGGCGCTGGCGGCGGCGCAGGCGGACGCGCGGCGTGAGGCGGGCCGTGCGGAGCTCGAGCGGGAGCAGGTGAGCTTGTTGCGCGCTGCTGAGCAGCGGCAGCGCCACGAGATGCAGGAGCAGGCGCGGAGCGCGGCGCAGCTGCGCGAGCTGCTGAGCCACTTGCAGGAGATGCAGAAGTCGCAGGTGCACGCTGAGGAGGTGACTTCGGGCCGGCTGCAGGGCGAGAACGAGCGTCTGCAGCGCGAGTGGCTCGAGGCCAAGGCGGCGACTTCCCGCGAAGAGGAGCGGTCGGCAAAGGCGGCCGCTGAGGCGCCGCAGCAGCTCACCGTAGACAGCCGAATGGTTGAGCAGCGTCCTCACCGCCCCTCCTTTGGTGCGCAGGCGTCGCGAAAGCTCGCTGCGGCGGCCGAGGAGCGTGAGGTCGTCGAGGGGCAGCTCAGCGCCGCGCGCGACGAGGCGGCGGCGCTGCGCACGCAGGTCGAGACGTTGCACACGCTCCACGAGGCGCAAAAGCTTCAGCTCTCGGAGGCGGGGGCAGGCGGAGACGCGCCGGGCGGCGCGTCCGCCGCCGGCGGAGTGGGCTCGCCGCCGCCGCCGAGCCGCGCCGGCAGCCGCGCTGCCGGCAGCGCCGGGCTGGCGGAGGAGGTGGCCGTGGCGCGGCGCGAGCGGAAGCGGGCCGAAGAGGGGCTCGCTGCGGAGAAGGCGCACTCGGCGCAGTACCGAGCGCTCGCCGCCGCCGCCGAGAAGGAGCGCGACGAGCAGCTGCAGCTGTCTTCTCAGCTCAAGGAGTCGCTCGAGGCGCGCGTCGCCGAGGCGGAGGCGGCGCGATCCGCGGCCGAGGAGCGGGTGGCTGGCATCCAGCAGACCGAGGGGTCTCGCCGCGCTGAGGCGGAGTCGCTGCGCTCGCAGCTGTCCGCCGCGAAGCAGGCGGAGGCGGCCGCGGAGGCCAAGGCGGCCGAGATTGTGGGCTCGGCCGATGCGGTCGCGTCGGAGCACGCGGCGGCGCTCGAGGCGTTGCGCGTGCAGCTCGAGGCGGCGCGCGGCGCCGAGGAGCGCGCCGTTGCCAAGTACCGCGCCGAGCTTCAAAACCACTCGGCGGACACGCTCGAGCTGGCAAAGGCCAAGGAAGCGGCCACCTCCGCGACGGCCGACGCGCAGGCGGCTGCAGCGCGGTTGGGCGAGCAGACGACGCAGCTCGAGACGCTGCGGCAGGCGCGCGACGCCGCGCGCGCCGAAGTGGAGACGCGGGTTGGCGAGCTCGAGCAGCGGCTCGCGTCGGCAGCGGACGAGAACCGGCTTCTGCACGGGCAGCTCTCCCGCCTCTCAGCGCAAGCCACCGCCGCCGCCACCGCCGCCGCTTCCCCCGCCGGCCGACGCGAGGCGGGCGGGTCGTCCTCGACTGGCGGCGCTGCGGGCGGCGAGGATTCGGCGACCGCGCTTCTCGCGGTGGTGCAGCGCGACAAGGAGCTCCTGGCCAAGAAGGTGGCGCTCGCGGAGCTCGAGGTGCGGCGACTGACGGGCCACGCGGAGGCGCGTTCGCCCAGATACCCGAGATCCCCCCCAGTGCCGCAGCACTCTTGAGGGAGCGGCTCCCTGTCTCGCGGCTGCAGGAGCTCGAGCGGCACCGCGAGGCTACGCAGGTGCGCTTGTCAGAGGCGCTCTCCAAGGTTGCGCGGTACGACGAGGCGAGCAGCCGCGCGCGCGCCGCGGATGAGGCACGTGGCAAAGGTGTTGGCGGGGGGGGGGGGGGCACGGGCGGCACCGCGCGACGGGGCTGCTTTAGGCGCGCGAGCTGCAGCTGCTGCGCGACTCGAATGCGATGATGGCGTCGCGCGAGGCGTCGCGCGAAGCGGCCCTCGCGGCGGCCAAGAAGGAGGTGGCCGAGCGCAAGGCGGCGCTGGAGCCGCTGCGCGTCGCGGTGGCCAGCAAGGCGGCGGAGGCGGAGGCGTTGGCAGGGCAGGTCGAGACGCTGAGCAAGGAGTCGAAGGAATGGCAGGAGCGGGTGCGCAAGCTGCTGGCCAAGGACAAGTCGACCGTCGCGGCTGAGCAGCACGACAAGCTCGTCGAGGAAAAGAGCGCGCTCGCGGCGCAGCTGCAAGCGGCGAGCGCCGCCAAGGAGAAGGCCGAGGGCGAGCTGACCGCCGCCATCACGCTGCAGGAGCGGCTGCGCAAGGCCGGAGGCACCTTCAAGACACAGGCCAAGGAGCGCGAGCGCGAGCGCGACGCCGAGCGCGAGGCCAAGGTCAAGGCGGAGGAGGAGGCGCGCGCGGCCGCCGCCGACGCGGCAGCCGCGCGCGAGGAGGCTGACAAGGCGAACAAGGCGGCCGAGTCGGGCCGCGCCGCCGCCGCCTCGCTCGCCGAGGCGCAGGCAAAGTCCGAGGGTGCGGACAAGGCGGAGGCGGCACTGCGCACGGAGCTCGCCGCCGCCAAGGAGCTGAGCCAAAAGTACTTGCGCGGGTACCGCCAGGCCAAGGAGCAGCTCACCTCAAAGACGAGAGAGCTTGAGGCGCTCAAGTCGGGCGTGACCGCACCAGCACCCGCCGCCGCGTCGTCGGCGGGGGCCGCCAGCGCTGCCGCCAGCGCGACAGCTGCCTCTTCGGCAGCGGCAGTTCCACCCGCCGCCGCGCCCGCGCCCGCGCCAGCCGTTGCCGCGCCGGCACCCGCACCCGCCCGCGGCCGCGGCGCGGGCCGGGCGCGCCGCGGCCGCGCCGCAAGGGGAGCCGCCGCCGCGACTGCGCCCGCTACTGCGCCCGCAGCTGCCCCCGCCAGCGTCTGCCGCGACCGCCGCGCCAGCGGCCGCCGCGCCCGCAGCCGTCGCGCCAGCGGGCGACGCGGTCAGTGGCGTCTCCAGTCCGCTGCCGGTGGCAGCGCCAGCCGCAGCGTCGGCGGCGCCTGCGACCCCGCCGCGGTCGCCCTTCCTCGGCTCGGCCCTCACGCCGGGCGAGCCAGACGCGGCGGCGCTCGACCACGGCGGCACGTCGGCGGCGGCCGCCGAGGCGCCGCCGCCAGAGGCGTCCGTCGCGGGCGTGAAGCGCGGTGCGGCCGGCGACGGCGGGGCGGGCGCAGGCGAGCCCGCGCGCAAGGCGCGCAAGGCAGCGACGGGCGGCAGCTACTACAAGGTGGTCGATGGCGTGCGATACGACGCGGGGCTCCTCGACTTGGCGGAGGAGCTCGCGGCGGCGGGTGGCGGGTCGATCGACGCCGCGGCGGCGCAGAGGCTGGCCGAAGCAGCGGCCGACGGGCCCGGCGTGACCGAGTGCGAGAAGGGGACGCTGCGCCACATTGCGGCGACGCATTCGCTGCACGCGGATGCCGCCAAGCTGATCGAGAAGGAGGCTGGCGCAGCCGACGCGGGCGCCGAAGCGATGGAGGCGGAGGCGGAGGAGGGCGAGGAGGCGGCCGCCGACGAGGCGGAGGCAGATGCGGAGGCGGCGCACGCAGCGGGCGACGAGCCGGCAGACGGCGACCAAGAGGCCGACGTTGAGGAGGGCGAGGTCGACTAGGCGGCCTCTCTTGGCGCAGTGCCGACGCGCGCCCTCGGTCAGTGAGGGTTAGGCGGTTCGCGAGACCGAGAGGAGCAGTTCAGCCAAGCCAAGCCCGGGGGCGCCAAGGTAGCCAAGCCCTGCCGAGGCCAAGATACATACGCACGGGTTCTCACGTGATGCCACTTGACTCTTGAGCATACGGAAATGATGTTTACTGCAGCGGTAAAATGCTGTTATATTTTTGAGAGGTGAGCGGGTCGAGATCTCGAGAAAAAGAAAACGATGCAGCGGAAAACGAAGTCATTGCTTCAGGCTCTCGACATCAATGAAAGCGGCGAGATCATCGCCGCTCGCAGCAACCTCCCCGCGGTGCACCCCGCCCAGCTCGACGACGAGGTAGAATCCAAGGCCGACCACCACGAAGATGCCAGGGAAGGTGATCAGCGGATTGAGGTACCAGGGCGGCCGCTCCTCCTTGCCCGAGAAGAAGCCGAAGATGTAAACGCCCTTGAGCCACTCGACCGCCGCGGCGAGGCCCTCCTTGGCGGCGGGCTTTGCTGCCATCCGCTCCTCGTACGCCCGCTGGATGTCGGCCGGCGTGCGCGGCACGCCCGCGTTGTCAGCGGCGAACGTGCCGCCGCTGGCGGCTGGCTGCTCGACACTCAGCAGCTCCACGTCAAAGAGGAGGGTCGAGTCGGGCGGGATGAGCGGGGGGATGCCCTTTGCGCCGTACGCGTACTGCGGCGAGCAGGTCAGCGTCGCTCGCTCGCCCGGCGCCATCGCTGCGACGCCCACCTCCCAGCCGCCGATCACGCGGCCATCACCCAGCGTGAACTTGAACGGCTTGCCGCGCGAGCGCGACGAGTCGAAGGGCGCGCCCGTCGCGGCGAGTCGGCCCTCGTAGTGCACCTCCACCGTCGCGCCCTTGAGAGGCGCCGCACCCAGACCCGGTTGCACTGTCTCCTTGAGCACCCCGCCGTCGCCGACAAGGTCGAGGACCGGCGCGGCCGCAGAGGCGCAGAGGCGAGGCTGGGCCGCCGCGCCACGCGCGGCGAGCGCCGGCCGCCGCACTGCTGATGTCGGGCTCCACGCGCAGGCGCTGAAGAGATACACCAACATCGCAGATGTTAGTTGGGTTCGTTTCCCGGCGGGGGGGGGGGGGGGGCGCACAGGTTGCGTGACTGTTTTTTATGTGAACTAGCCTGTGCTTGTGCGTGGGTTCGGGGTTGTGTTTTTGCGTGAACTAGCCTCGCTTGTCCGCAGACAGAGCAAAAAAACCAATTGAGCGTCATCTTGTAGTGAACAGGCCGAGTTCGCGGTTTGAGCCAACCAACCCCTGCCTAGACGATTACAGCTAAAGAGTACCCGGGGCTCCCCATGCGGGAGAGCCCCAGCGGAGCACTGGCATTCCTTGCCCAGCTCAAGCGGGTCTGCATGTGCGGCAGGAGCACCCAGAGGATGGCGCCAAAGGCGTCTCGAACCGCCTCGTCGTTGCTGACGGCGTGGGTGACGGCGCCGCTCGCGGCGAGGAGCGCGACGTTGTACGCCGCCACCAGCAGCGACGCGATGCCGATGAGGAGGAAGAAGGATGCCCTCCCGTGTCCCGACCCTAGATTGCAAACGGACAGACCGCGGTTCCGACCCCTCCCCCTCCCCCTTTTTTTTCCGTCGCGTACCAGGTCTTTGACTTTTGTGCACTCGGGGGTGAGGGCCAGGCCGACGCGGCGCTGGAGTCCTGCCTGGATAATGCACAGTGTCCGCCGGCGCCAGATGCGCCCTTCCCATCGCCCCCTCCGCCGCCATCGCCACCACCATCCTGCGCTGATTGTGTTGCCCTGTACGACCCCTTGGGCACCGGGACAGCGTGTGGAGGCCGGTCGTGCGAGGACTCCTGCGCGCATCCTCGGGCCGAGTTTGAGCTGGGCAAGGAATGCCAGTGCTTTGCGGGGATTTCCGCAAGGGCCCTCCGTGTGGGGGCCCGTGAACATCTTCAGCTTGTGAGCCAGGAAAAGGGTTGGGTTTGAGCGCCCAGCGCAGACCGACCGACCGCAGGGGGGGTCCGGTCGGCGGCCGCGGAAGACCGCAAACCGGAGGGGGGTCCGGTCGGTCGGAGCGCAGCCTACCGAGGGCGGGCGGGGCTCCGAAGGGGGGATCGGTCGGGTTGGCTCGAGGGTCACACCGCACACGCTCGCCGCAGCTGTAAATAATTTCGCGTTCCTAGAGACACCAAGCGCCCTCTCCCCCCGTCTAATCACTCCTCGCCGTCCGAGTTGCAGAGCTCGAGACGCTCAGGATTGGGTCGGAACACGAGCTCGTCCATGTCCACGCTCTGGTCGTCGTCTCGTCGTCCATGATTAGCTTCGCCGGCGACACACTGTGTACCCGTTGCTGACGAGCCGCTTGAGCGCGGCCAGCATCGCCCGGTGACGGCGGCGGCGATGTGTCGATCAAGTCTGGCAAGTCATCGTAGTCATCGGAAGGGACGATGCGCGCGTACTGTGGAAAATTGGAGCGCTGCCAGAGCTTGTACATAGCGATGGCAAGCAGGACCAGGCCTGCGACTGCGTAGATGTTCCACATATATGTCTGGGGTCGGGCTCGCTCGGGCCTCGGCGAAGAAGCGTCCTTGGCCTTGGCTGCGTGACTAGTTTTCATAGTGAAAACCGGCGGATTTCGATGCGCCCGTGGCGGTTCGCGAGAAGGAGGGAGAGCGTTTGAGGGGGCTCACGGCAAGGACACCGACCGAGGGGGGGGGGTCGGTCGTCACACCTCCCGCCGCCGAGAGAGCGAGCGACCGGAGGGGCGGTCCGGTCCACCTCGGGGGCAGACCACCGACCGGCGGGGGGGTCCCCACGAACTAGGGGGGGTGGGTACAAAATGACGCTCATACAAGAGAGTAGCAGGAAGACGGGAGACCCCCAAAAAGTTGCTCCTTCGATCCCCGCAGTAAGTATCCTCCGTTTCACCGTTTTTTCCGCGTCGTACTTTTAGCTTACTGGGAGAAAAGGGAGAGGGCGTTGTGTTCTCTCTCTCTCCGCGTCTGTACTGTACTTTTAGCTTACTGGGAGAAAAGGGAGAGGGAGGCACTTGGAGCACTTGGAGTGCAGTCATCAGCCTCACATCCAGGGCCGGGGAGCTGAGGAGCGCACCTGGCGCTTTCTAAGTAAGAAGCCGCGGTGAACGAATCTTCGGAGAGGAGGGGCAGTCATCACTGCCGCGCTCACTGGGTTCGAGAGATTGTGCGAGAGATTGTGGGTTGAGAGAGCTTGCGTCGGAGTCGTCCTCCGCTCCCACCTGTCGAGTGCAAGCTGCAGTTCCTTGGAGTCGAGGTACCAGACGCCATCAACCTGCCCTGCGCCCTGAGCAAAGTCAAGGGCCTTTTCCCTCTCGGCCCGAGCCTGGGCGGCAGCGGCCTGGCGCGTTGCATTCTTCTTACCGCCTCCATGGGTGCCCGCTCCATTGCCCGCTCAAGTGCCCACGCGGGCAGCAGGGGCGCGCCATCAATTAGGCTAGGAGGGGCGGCTAACTTGCTCATCCGGAAACCTGCCTCCGAAGAGGCATCTGCGATTAAGTCAGCATGCACGCTCAGGGATGATGTCGTCGAGTGCACTCGTAGGGCACTCACTGATTGCTCATGCATGGCCGGGGCCGCGATGTGTGAATTTGGAAATCGGGTCAGCACTTCCCTTGGGAGGAGAGGAAGGTTAGTCTTACGCTTGAAAGACAAGTAGGCAAGTATACCGGGCGGTCGCCGTAGACACGGTTGAGGTAAAGGCCAGACATCTTGCCCCTGACGGGTGAGTCAAGGGTGTTGATGCGCCCGAGAGCGAAACGAGTGAGGAGGCCGCGTGCTGCATCTTGCATGCGGGTGGCCAAAGACACCACTCGGCACGGCACTGCCTGCTGTGGAGCGGCCGCACATTGCTCGGTACCCCCCCTGCACATCTAAAGCCATCCCTGCTGCTAGGGGGGGGGGGGGTCTGACCCCCCCAACAGCAAAACGCTGCTGCTGGGGGGGGGGTCCTTATCCCCCCCGCAACCAAACGCTGCTGGTGGGGGGGGGGGGGTCCCCACCCCCCCCGGATGCGAACCCACCGAGCCACTTTCCCACCCTTTGGACGCCGACCCCCCTCCCACCTTGGTGCAGAGTTTACACGACGCTC